ACTGTGACATGAGAAACAATGCAGTAAACAACAAATTATCATTTAAAGCACTTTATCATTTTTTATTGAACTACAGCTTCATTATTTGATGTTTCTAAGGAGTTCTGTGGCCTGATTTATTACTCATCCATCAACAGGTGCCACCATGAAATTATGCCCCACGTATGCTAAATTGCTTCCACAGAAAATGAAGTAAAAACACCTTCAATTTACCTGGTTTACCAACACTTCACTGACCACGATCCAACATAGTTACTTACTATCAATTATAATTTTACACAAATCAACGTATAATTTATGTTAAAGGTTTCGTTTTGTATCACTGCAGTACTTTGAAATGCACTCAAGTAGCTCTACAGATCCAGATGCTGAATTATGTCTCTCTAAATACTTCAGACTCAAACTCAAAGGTTATTTTTAATTTATTATAAAACTACAGACAGTTTTTATTTAACACATCTACCTAGCAGTGTTAAGATTTTTATTATCTATTTAAATACTGTATCTTTAATTTCAAAATTCCTGTTGTTTCTGTGGTTCTTGTTATGAAAAATGTCATCAAAAGTTTAATCCACATAACCAGTACATCATTTGAAATATGGTGAGTGGACTGAAATGCACTTTTCTAAACCTGCTCTGCTGGAGTCACTTGGAACTCCTGTGGCCACACCTGTCCTATGTCAGACTGCTGTGGTGCTTTACATCAGCTGAGGATATAGATCTCTGGAGTTTGGGGGTGGGGTTTTTTGTTTGGTTTGGATTTGTTGGGGGTTTTTTTGGTTGTTGTTGTTGTGTGGGTTGTTTTTTGTTTTCATTTTTGTTTTGGGTGGGGTTTGTTTTGTTTTTCTTGTTTGTTTGGTTTGGTTTTCTTGTTTTGGTTATTGTTGTTGTGGTGGGGTATTTTAATGTTTTGGGTGGGAGTTTTTATAAAGATGACTGAGAAGTGATGTTCTAATCATTGCAACACAGTGGTTTTGTCCTCAGTCATAATATTTAACTGAGGAACAGAATGACATCTACGATTAAAATATATCTTTGTATAAAAATAACATGCTCAAGAATTTACTTACATTAAATTATATTGGTGGGAATTTTTATTACTTTTATTTTTCACTTTTTTCAAGGAACTTAATGGAGATCTGAATTTTTGACCCTAACAAATTTTTTAGAATTGTCCATATTTTAAAGGTCTACAATATACATCCAAATGGTAAGGTAGATCAGTTTATCACCTGGATAAACAAGTTTAGAGAAACAAATATACATCTAGCACTAAATACAAAGGTCATTTTTGGGGTTTTTTTGATACATCTGAGTCTGACCATTCCATTAAGCATATATTATCATGTGCAAACAGAAACCAAGAATGAGAAAAATAAAACTTCTGTATTCTTTAGTTAATGGATGAACAGCAAGCAAGCTTAACTTTATTTCATGTAAGAGCCATAGCCTTGCTACCAATACACTGTAAATGTTTATCTCCCCTTGAAAACATTTTGCACTGACAAGAAAAATAAGACAACATTGAATACAGAGTAAGATCTCTAACCGTGGTCTGAAACAAAACAAAACTGCATTACAGAACGACAATATTATGAAGATTTAGGTGCTGACATGTAGTGACTATTGTATAGAGCTTTCAGTTAGAAGCAGGAAATGAATATGAAAATATTTTGTTGTAAAAAATAAGATACAGTGCTATTAAACATTATTTTAAGTAATGTAGAGAAATAAAAGAGCAAAACATAACTGCAGTTCTACAGGCTTTTCCTTTACACCATTACTACCTTTGACTCCAACTTCGCAGTTCCAGTTACTGTTAGAGACACTTGCCTGTTAAGCAGTTCTCTGACAAATAAGGAAAAGCATCAGAAGATGGTACTGGAAGCCTTCTGGTACAAACAGGATTTAGACCGCATTGGTATGATGATGTGCTTCAATCACACTGATTTATCTTCTATAAACCCTATCTGCTTTACTTCATCTTGACTTCAGTTACAGATACAAATGGTCTCAATGCAGCATAAAGAGAAAAAAAAAAAAAAAGAAAATGTCCTCACAATTTCAGTCCTGCTGTTAACTAAATCTGAGTAAAGCTAAGCATCAGAGACAGAAATATTTATTTCAGAGTTAACCCAGTAATCACCTTTTAGAAAATGATAACATTCAAATAGAGGTACACACTCAGTTGACATTTACTTACCCAGCTTTTTCTTACTAATTTCTAGCTAGTATTACTCCTTCAAAACAAAAATTTTGTTCCATGTCTTCACAAATATGATAAAAAAATTTAGTAGCAAGCCATGAGTTTCAAGCTGCTCAGCCAACACCTGGGATCAAGCTTCTCCCATATATTGTTTCAGAGTTTTTCTGTTTAATTGATTTATTAAAAAGCATTAAGTTTATTAGTTATTATTTGCAAATAATATTTAGACCTGTGTTATGGTATACACCTAATTAAAATCTGTTTTTTAAACAGTTGTTAATTTTTTCTTCCAAATCAAAGTACCAGTCATTTGGAGACAGACTATACCACTCACACAAGCACTGCTCGTCAAGACCTTGGACTGCTACCCTTTCTGAGTTAGTTCTCTGCTGCTTTTACCACACAGCTATGAATATCAATAAGGCTTTCCTATTTGCATGCTGCTTTGATACAAAAGCAGTAAAAACTATGTTGGCTGTAACAACAGTACTTGAATATCCCTGCTTGTGAAGGTGAAAGAAAGAGACAATATTCAGTGAGGAGAAAATGTATTCCTTTAAATACTGAGGGAAAAAACACTAGTCTAACTTCACAAGTAACTTAGGAACATAACATACAAACTTCTGTGTAATAAAAGCAGTGTGATTCTTCAGCCTAGGTAACACTGTAACATCACTTTTCATCAAATTTTGACAAGAAAGTTTCCAGACTCCAGGGAATTGTGGTATGAGGTGAAAGGTAGAACTTGATGATCATGAAGGTCTTTCCCAACCTTAATAATTTTATGTAGTGATATTTTTCTGCAGTCAACAAAACCTACAGCAGACAGCAAACTCACTTTTACTAAGAGACAAACATGGAGAAATGAGGGCAAACCTCCCACTTGATGGACAGCACCAGCTTTCCTCTGCACTGCCCAGCCATGTACAAACCCAAATGAAAGGCATGAGGACTCATACTTTAAAAATCATCTGGTAACACTTAAAAGGGAGATTTAAATTGAATGTGGCATTAACAATACCAAACAGTTCTATTAAAACCTTGTCAGTCACTTGTAATGGTTGATTTCTTCCATACTAAGTATTGGCTCGGCTCTGACAATTTACCTTGGAAGTTCCAGAAAATATTCTGGAAAGCAACAACTGAAAGTAGAACTTAAAAGAACCCCAAACAACTGAGCTCTACAGTACTATTTATCCCACATATTCAAAACACATGAATAACCTCAATCCCTATCTGTATTTTATACTACTTGGCATGCCCCAAGTTTTGATCCCTCTTAGTCCATTATGTAATTTCACTTCCACCACCATGGCCAGAGAGAGAGCTTTGGCCTCTTGCAGCCCACACATTCATTGTAGAGGTCCTCTCCTTCCATGCCTAGAGCCTCGTTCCCTCCCTGCAAGTAATGCACATCTTACCTCTATTCCGTAGGGAATTTAGTCTGTTCTCCTGGGCAGGGAATAATATCCACAGCGTCTCTTTCCTTCTCTTTTTGTGCGGCAGCTTTGTAGTATATTTTTTTCTTCTAAGGCAACTATCCTAATTAATGGGAGGAGCTACAACGTACTTAGCAGCAGGTGCGTTTGAAACTGACCACCACTTAAATCGTTTCTCAGCTAAGGCTGTGAGCAATTCACTCCTTCCAGGCAGGAACTGCGGCCTGAGGAGAGGCCCCCTCGGGCCAACCCGTGCTCCCCGGGGAGAGCAGCCCTCAGGAGGGCAGCTCTCGGTGCAGCTCGCCCTCCCGGCAGGACCTGCGGGATGAGGACAGGAGCCCTCCATGAGGAGCAGAAGGGCAAGCAGGAGCTGATGTGTGCCGGCTGGAATCCCCCATCCCCTGAGGGCTGGATGGGAGAGGGGGTGAAATTACACTTGGCAGAAAGCGGTGGCTACAGAAGGTGGTATTTTAATTTTTGGCTTCCTCACCATCCACATCCATTTTAACTGGCAGTTAGATACATTTCCCCCAAGTCTGCTTTGCCCACGACAGTAATTGTTGATTGCTCTGTCTTTATCTTGACCTATGTGCTTTTTCATGTCATTTTTCTCCCCATCCTGCTAGAGAAGAGGAGGGGAAAGTGAGTGACTGGGTTATCATGTGGCTGCAATCCACAGTCAGCTCACCACAGTGTGATAGATAAATATAACTATTTTCTTTGTTGCCAGTCTACTTATTAACCTTGACTTGTAATCTCAGTTCTCTTTGATGTTTTTCATCTGTGGCATATTCTATTAATTTCTCTTCAGTCATAGCTAAGGCAAAAAAGCAGTTTTTACTAACACTCCTTTATATAGCTGTGGATATTAAATTTAGCAAATTTCAGCATTATCTAATACAATCTCGCTTATTTAATAAGTCAAGGGCATACACGGTAGTTCTAAACTTCATTGAAATTGTTGCAAAAACCACAGTGAAATTTGTCACAATGTTAATGCAGCTTTCTTCAGCGGTGGAGCTGTACAGCAAGTATGATTGCTCTCCACCAGAGCTCAGAGTAAAACTGCTGCAAAACTTCCTCCTGGTTGCAGAAACAAGGAAGATGGAGGAGACAAACCCTCCTGCCTTCTAAACCTTTCCTCAACTTGCCCATCAGGAAACACTGCGGGGGGAAGCAGCCATTCATACTTAGCTTTAGCATTTTCCATTTTTCCTTTCATTCAGTCACATAGTATATTTTATGAAGTTAAAAGAAAAATCTGCTTCTAAAGGTATGCACATGTCCATATTTTGAGAATTTGAAAATTCTTCATGTATTTTGCACTACAGTAGTGACCACCCACAATTAAGACATTTTTGAAGCATTTTCCTTTATTTGTGTATTGCAAACACATCTGCACATCACATGCTTTAATAATTCTTGTTCTTGAAAGTAAGACTGTAATTCGTAGGTCTAGAACATTAATCATACCCTTAACCTCAGGGAGCCATTTCTAAGAAAAAAACTACAACCTTCCAAAAAAAAAAAAAAAAAAAAAACAACAAAAAAAACCATCATACTGACTGTCTAACTATTAAGTCAACAACACCTCGTTTCTGTGATTGCTGCATTCAACTGGTAGCTCTTCCATGTTTTGTTTTAGGCATTATCTTATTAATCGAACTACTTCTTAAATTAGCTTTGGTAAAAATTATTAGACTCAAGGGAAACCTACTAGAAGCATTACGAACATTTTGATGAGAGTAGGTTAAGAAATAGCTAGTTATGACAAGGGGTGAACATCTGTTAGCCTGTGAGAAGACAGGCACTGAAAGGTGGTAAACTCCTACACCACCTCAGCTACACCCAAACCTGTTTCGTGCCTATCATTGTGCATTTGAAGGCACAACATACCTCACAGCAAGCTTTGCCGTAAAAGCCCTAATCAATGACATTCAATTTACAAAATTAAATAAAAACTCGACAGTCTGGCGGTGGCGTTTGTGAGAGCTTGCTCTACTGTGAGCCCACCTTTGATTGCATCGTCAGCGAGAACCAAGGTACACCTGTAATATCAATACCATCAGCGCACTGGACAGCCACCGCCAACCCAACCTCGAGCTTCCAGCTCCTGAGGAGCCTCCCGAGCGAGAGGAACAAAGGCGGTGAACGTACCTTCCCCTCGCTGCCCCGGAGGCCAGGTTCCTCCCGGCACTTCCCCGGCCCGGCCGGAGCGGTGCAGGGCTCGAAGGGCCCAGGTAGCCCGGTAGCCCCTCCCCGTCGCCGGCCCCGCCCCGCGGGGGATGGAGGGGCCGCGGCCGGGCTGGCGCTGGAAGAGGAAGCGGGAACGCGCTACCGGGCGGCGGCGGTGGGGTCACGAACTCTGACCTGTCACAGGGCACGGCACACATAACAAAACACCCCCGACCCCAACACAGCCCCGGCCCCCTCCCCTCCGCGGGCCCCACAGCCCCTTACAGCCCCCGCGGGGGGAGGGAGGGCCGCTGCTGGGCACCGGCCTGCCCGGGCCCGGTCGGGTCACCGCCACTGCACCTTTGGCGCCCATTCCTGAGGTAAAAAACATTTTTTAAAATTGAAGCGGCCTGGTGGGTTTGTCTCGTGGGGGCCAGGACGAGGGAGGGGGCGCGGGGAGGCGGCAGCGGGCCCTACTCTGGACACCCCCGCGAGGGGAGGGGTGGGGTGACGGTGGGTTTAGGGGAGGGGGATTGCACGGCTCCGGTATTTGTCTGGTAAGCGAACACCAGCCGTGGTCTGGCCTGGTCTACAGCTCCTGGAAAGAGAGGAAACGACCACTGTGGCGTGCTGGGTCGATCGGCGGGCAGTCTGGTGCCGGAGCCGCTGGTTGCAGCGTGGGCCGGCTGAGGTCGGGGCTGGTCCGGTCGCGGTGAGCAAAGTCTGCTGTCCAAGGGGTGTAGGGCGATGGTCGCGGCGATGACGAGCGCGGGACACACAGAGGCAGAAGATGGAGTCTGAGCGGGCGGAGGCGGCGGCTTGAACCCGACCCTTTTACCTTTGCCACCGGGAGGGCGGAGGGGAGGGGGCGGCGGGTACTTTGCATACGGGGCTGAAACCGCCGCCATCTTACCGGCCGCTTCCACACTGCCATGCCTGGGCCTCCTCTAGGCAGATACAAAGCTGTACCGGAGGGGAAGGGAAGGGGCCTAATGGCGGCGGCAGCAGCCCCGCCTGGGCTCTGGCGGGCGGCCAGCACCGCCATCTTGTGCTCAGTGAATCCCCGGGGGGCTCTCCCGCTGCTCGAGGGGCGGTACCGCCGCTGTTACAAGCGGGTGGCTCGGCCAATGGGCGATCTGCGGGGGAGCGCTGCGCCTGTCCTGAGGTCATTGGTCGGGCCGGGGGCGTGGCTCGGCGACGCGCGGCGGGGAGCTGCCGAAGGCTCTTCAGCGGCGGATGGGGCGTGGCGTAGCCAATGAGAGTGCGGGCGCGCGGCTCAGCCAATGGGGGCGCGGCAGGCCCGGCGCGGCCTGGCCGGGGTCGGAGCGCTGGCGGCGCCGCTCGCGGTGCTCCTGCTCGGCCGGCGGTGTCGGGCTGTGGGCCGGCGGCCGGCGGTGTCGGGCTGTGGGCCGGCGGCCGGCGGTGTCGGGCTGTGGGCCGGCGGCCGGCGGTGTCGGGCTGTGGGCCGGCGGCCGGCGGTGTCGGGCTGTGGGCCGGCGGCCGGCGGTGTCGGGCTGTGGGCCGGCGGCCGGCGGTGTCGGGCTGTGGGCCGGCGGCCGGCGGTGTCGGGCTGTGGGCCGGCGGCCGGCGGTGTCGGGCTGTGGGCCGGCGGCCGGCGGTGTCTGGGTGTGGGCCGGCTTCCTGCCGCCGGGACAATATGCGGGAGACTGCCGACAGGGCTGTACCCGCTTCTCGCCCGTCCTGCCGATGGCAGCCTGCTGGAGGCCGCTCGGTGTAGCCGAGTCGGACTCACAGCGTAAAGAACCTCGTTTCATTAAGACAAAGGAACAAATTTCACTAAGTTTGAATGCGGCCTTTTGCCGTGTCTTGTCAGTAGGGCCATACCCTTAGAACCTCTCAAGTAGAATTTATGACTTGCTTCTGAGGTTGCACTGCAGCTTAGGGAAACATTAGTGATTTCACACTGTGTTTTGGACAGCGTATACTGAGCTGGCTGCCACCCTGTTATGCTGAAAATAATTTCCTGGTGCTCAAGGTGCCTCTTCCTAGTTTTTCAAATTTCACCCCTTGTGTTGGTTTGGGGGTTTTTGTTGTGGCTGCCTTACAAACTGTTGCTCGGGGCTTTTGCTAGGAAGCTGATTTTGCCTTCTGAGAACTGACACCATTAAGAAGCTTTTTGTGGCTGTATATAGTCTCTGTGCTCAAAGCTGGATTTGATCAGATAGCTTCAGCTTAAGGTTCTTCTATGAAGGTTGAAAGTACAAAAAGCCTTGGTGGTAACACCAACAATAGCACATCTGTCAGACTCACTTTACTGCAAACACTTTTGTTTTGTGTCTCGGAAAGGTACTGTTATGAACAAAGTATCTCATCTGAAGGGCTTCTCTCATAAAGCGCTAAGAAAGCATATTATGAGCATATGATTATGCTTCTTGTGCTTCTTGCTGAATATTAAAAAAAATAAGAGGAAACACTGAAAAGGAACCATTGAACAACTAAGAAACCATCCATAAGCTGAGTTTGGTGGAAATGGTTCGTAGTCTTAATCAAGTGCAATACTTCAATAAAATAATGACAAGCTGTAGGAGAACCTAGCGTAAATACAAATTCCATGTGGATGTCTCAAGTTTGATTATGCATTATTACAAATAATCTTTACTTGACATATACAAAATTACTTTCACATTTGTCGCAATATAAGGGAATCCATTTAACGTAACGAGTTTTGACATATTTAACAATGTTAACTTTGTAAAAGTTACATTTGAATGAGTGGTAGAGTCATGCATACATTTTTCTGTTACCTGTGTTGCTATTGTTTGTTTTATTTTTAAAATTTATATTAAATGACTGCTTTGCAATTTTAAGGAGGTTTCCAATGAAACATCAAATGAGCCAGCATTCAGGAATGACTTTTGATTACCTATACTTGGATCAGAATCTGAAATCTAGCCCTGTAATTAGCAAGTCACAATTAAAAACTTAATTCATTAATTGAAAATCTTAATTAAATTTAACTTTGAAGAAATATACCCCTAATAATGATAATTAAAAATACATTGGAAGTGGTTTTTAATTGTTTCTTTGTCTTTTATTTCTTTGTAATTTTTTAACCCCTAAAGTTGAAGGTGGAGTTACTTGGAATAGGATAAAATGATTCTGCAGTATTTTCTTCTCATTGTGATAATAGTATCACATTATAATAAAGAAATAGTTTAAATAATGGAAGATACATTTTAGATGTAACTGTTTATTTCCCTTATTGTGTAAGATTACTCTTAAGAATATGGATGAACGTGGTGGTTTGATGGAACAACTCAAATTCTATGCCAAACAGCATTCTTAGCTTGCTGCTCCCTGATTCAGCATGTGGCAAGGCATCTCCTGCCTGAGCTGAGGAAAGTGACTTTGAGATCTATGAATTTTACAAACTGCATTAGTACTTGACTTTGAAATTAGTCCTTTCTCATTTATGAAATTAACATCTCTTTTTTACAGCTTAAATAACAGAGTGGAAAGAGTATATTAGAGGCTTAATAAAGTAAAAGAACAACTGTACCTCAGCAGTTTGAACAGCATGGTTCCAGCGTGCATGTCCCATATATGTATATGTGTGTGTATGTATATGTGCACACACACACATCAATGGCATCTTCTCTTATTTGCCAGATATTTCAAGCAGAATTGTAAATTTTCAAAAAGTCGTAGCAGAGCTTTCTTTAATACTAAGAAAGATCCCAAACTTTTGTGCCTGATGGAAGTTGCTGGCATCTTTCCAAACAGGTTCTCTAATGGTCTTGTTTCACCATGGCAACCAATATGGAGGTGCTGGCTCAGCAGGTAGTGGAGACTCAGCAGGTGGCTGAGGTGAGTGACAGATGATATCACAAGAGTTGGTATATGAGATTTTGAAATTAAAAACTTATTAGGGAGTCACGCTGTTTACAATTAAGCATAAATGGAACAGAAGATCTTTAAAGAAAAGTGCTGCTTTATACCTGGGGACAAGCATGAAACCAGTGCAATTGGGACACATTTTGTTCACCCTACTTTGTTCTGGTGGTCCCCATATGAAGAATGCAAGTAGAAAGTTCAACATGAGCTATAGAGAAACTTGGCTGTATTATGAATTGTTTAAAAACTTAATACAGCAAAATTTCTTGTAATTTAATCATTAGATTGACCATTTGGGACATGGAAAGCTTCTGCACCTAATAGGAATTGTAATCTAGATCCATGACAGTATTTGAAGTTACCTGTTTTACTTATGCGCTATAGTGAATTTACAGCAAGCTGGTTACCTTAAATCAGTTGTTATATTTTGTGCCTACACTTAAAGAAAAAAAACACAAAACCTACTTAAAGGGATATTAAGTGATGTCTTGATGCATATCCATTGAAGCTTGGATGCTCAACAGCTAAAAAGTTTAAATCAACTCATAAACACAAACTACAAGTGTTCATGGCCATAGAAAATAATTTATCTCCCTCACTATGCAAACTTCAGTCAAGAAATAAACTAGATCTTTTGTCTGATTAAAATTACTTGGTTTAGTATCCTTGAAGTTTACTGTGATTTTTCGTATGGTTACGTAATTAAGGGATTTAATAAATAATAAAGGGCAAGTGGGCTGAGAGACCTCTGTAGAAGAGGCTACTTTTCAGACATTAGTTTGGAGTTTTCTTTTACCTATTGAGCTAAGATTACAACTGTATATTAAAAATATTTTTTATTTCAAAAAGTTGTCCTATATAAGTAGAAAACATAAGTTTAATTCTGTTTTTAGAAGTGGATTTGAGATTCCCTACTTAGAAGTACATTTTTAAAGAAGAAATTTCATTCTTTTTAGCATGGAAAATGGCCTAGTGAGTGTCCTGGAATTAACATCTATGGAATAGTTTCAAAAAACTTCCTAAGTTTCACAGTGAAAACCAACAAGAGATCTTTCACTCTAGTTTTCTGTACCAGGTATAAATTTGGTAAGATGCATTTTTAAAAAACATTTCCAAATATATTTGGAAAGAGAAACTTGTAATGGAAATACCAACAAACTTTATTTTGGTAGAGATTGGGTGCTGTAATAACATCTCAAGCACATAAAATATATGACATTTGTAATTCCTCGTGCAGGAAATGCACCGTGGTAACATAGTGTGATGGTTGTATCATGCCACTGGAGAGATCGCTCCATCTCAAGAGTGTATGAAGCTCTGTGATTTCTTCCTGGCCGGTGGGTAAATAGAGGGCTTCATCTCTTTATAGTATTCAGCCGCTGCTTAAATGATATGCCTGTCCACTGTGTAACACCATGAAAACGTTGTTCATGGAAAACCAGTTGTAAGCAGCATTATCTCGTTAGGAATTCATTAATACTATGACCATGTTAATACTGAATCATTTCTGTATGAATGGCTGGCTGCCTGCTATTTGTGTTTTCTGTCAGATAGTTTTCAATACAGGTAAATACATAACTAGTTTTCTTTAAATATGCTAAAATTCTATATTTGTACTCGCCATATATTAGAGAAAATGTAGAATCAAACTTGGCACTGGCTTTAGAAAATGAGACTTTCGGACTATCATATTTTTAATTGATGAAAATTAAATGGAAGAAGGGGGTCATTGATGATGCATTGAATTTCAGGTTATGAACTGTGAGAGACAAGTTGCAACCGGATGACCTAATGCAAATATTAGCAGCTTTACCTATATTGGTATCGCTTTTTCAATATAATTGCCACATATGTAGTGCATGAGTTTATTGAGAACTGCGATGCCAAGCACCAAATGAGACTGTCATGCAAGTAGGATACATTGTTTCTCTTTCTTGAGCAATAGTTCATCAGCTTTTTTATGAAACTGAATGTTTCACGGAAGTTGCTGAGTGTGCTCCAGTGTTGCATGTATTTTTGTACTTATTCTATGTTTAGGACTTTTAAAAATTGTTCTTGTAATGGTTTCAAATTGTTTCACTGCTTTTGATTGCTTCTGCATTATATAGTGTCGCTTGATTAAATTTTTTTCCAATTGTGCGTTCCTGAACAGATTGGACGAGAGTTCCATTTTTAGTGTTTGAAGTTGCCATTACTTACAGTTCACGAAACTGAAGAACAGAGTGCAGCTAGAGGATTCGGAGGGAATTTCAGCAGTTTCTTCTCATCCTGAGCAGCTCTTAAAAAGCAGGAAAAATACTTATGCCTTAATACAAAAATAAGTAATGCTGCTTTTCTCAAGCATTTATTTAGTACTGTCACTGTGCAATATGCAAGTGGCCTAGGTGCAGTACCAGCTTAGATCTGACTTAAATACTGTTTAAGAAAAATGTTTGTTTTTAAAGTGGAGGTGCATTCCATGTGTAGTACCTGTAATTTTAATGCAGAATTTAAAAAATTTTTAAACAGAGCTGTTGTGGGTGGGGTGGGGGAGGAAGGGGAGGGAAGGTGTGGTGGTGGTAGAAATAAGGGCTATTTCATCTTTCCAACAGCAGCTCTGGTGTAAACAGGAATCATTTTTAGTAGTTGCTAAAACTGTCCTTGGCCATCTCCCTGGCAGCCATAAACTATTCCCAGTGCATCCTTTTTCCTGTCAGAGGCTACAGGGAGAGAGTCACATGAGGTGACTGTTGAGCCCTGTGCTTCCTCGATCTTGCTTATAGCAGCTGCATTGCTGGAGAATTTTCAGTTGCTTTCAGTTCCCTCAGTGTCCTGATAGGAAACCATCAAAGTCTGGAGCCTTTTGGAAAGCATGTTTTCCCATGGAGGTCAAAAAATACTGGATATCCTTGTCACATAAAATATTTTTTTGACCCTCTTCAGACATCTCTGACATGTAACATCATAAATAGTTCTGCAGTTCAGATTTTGGTCCAGATGAAGCCTGTGTGCTGGAAAAGGAGAGTGGAAACACTGTTGTTCTGACGGAACAAGTTTTTACTTTGTTTTAAGATTTAATGAAGTGTGACATAAGACCTTTTATATGTAATATTTTATTTCTATCATTGGCCACTTGCTAATTTCTGATGATTCTTCAAAGTGGAGTTTTGATGCAAAGTCTTCTCAAACAATTTTTGGTTCAAATACAGCTTTTCTCAAGTTCCTGTTAACAGTAAAAGACCTGAAGTATCTCAGAGAACGTGCAAATGTGAGTTAGGAGATCGTGTCTGGTTTAGGCAGTTTGGCAGCATTTGAACTGAAGACTGTTGCCAGATGTGGCATAGCTGCTGGTGTAATAGAAGTGTGGGGTGTTACATAAGAGGTGGTCTGAGATTTTCCTTAGCATGCAGATGTGCAGTTTCTTCTGTGATTGTTGCCTTTTTATGTGCTACAAAAACAAGATCTTGCACTGGCATCTTATTAGGGCAGTTAAACTAGAGTTCTTCTAGTGGTGAATTTGACTTTTATCTGCCATCCTACAAAGGACCTCTTGGGAGTGGTCAGGAGAGTTAATTCCACGTAGAATAATTGAAACTTTTTTTAGATGTGTCTTTGGCCTGTGAAAGAAATATATTTGGATATACATTTTTTTTGGTAAAAGCCTATTATTAATTTAGTAGCAAAAATACTAATTAAAAAAATATCTATGGACAAATAAGTCTTTCTGATTTAATTTGAGTTGCAGGTGTAAAACTTGGTACCATATTTTTCATTTAAATTCTTCATTTGTTTTATGCGTGCAGTTAAAAACTTTTGGTCTGTGATTGCTTAATTATGCTTTAATTAATATAGGAAAGAGAATATAAATTATTGCCTCTGAAATTGATTTACACATGATGTATTCAAGCAATACAATTACTTCGGCTTTTACTGGAGTGAATATAGAAAATGTTTTTCCGCTTAAGTTAGAAAACGGTAGAGGCTTTAAAAATTTCTCTCTATGTGGCCAATGGATTATTCCTTCAATTTATTTCTGAAATACTGCTTTTTTAATCAGTGTGGTAGGGGGAAATAAGCTACAGAAAGCATTGAAAATTTGTTTAGGACAAATATTTATTATATATGTATATATGCTCATACAAACACACATAGATGAATGTGTACATGATGGGCAAATAAGTAAATTACTGTACAAACATGGCTATATGCCTATGAAGAAATCTTATTTATTTCTTATGACATAAAATAATGAAATGCTTGGAGAAACTTAGCTTCAAACTACGGATTTTATATATACATATTTATTTTATATATATACACCCATCTACTGGAATTTTAATATTTCATCTAAAATTTAGAAACTGAAAAAGTAGAAAAAATAATGTATATATGCAATTATATATATTTATGTTTTAAAAGGGGAAAATTATAATAATTTAAACAGAAGAAACCGACTTTAATTTTGCTAGCTTTCAAAATGCACCTAATTGCCAAATACTTGTTTTTAGTTTAATGATGAAAAACGTAGATGCATATGTATTTAACTGTATTTTTGTATTTCTTGAGCTTTGTGTAGATTTTCTATGTCACTTAAATCATTATTAATTTCTATAAACTTCAACATATGAAATTATTGCTAGTGGTACTTACTTGTTTGAGAGCCCAAGCAATTACATTCTAGATACAAGTACTACTTTCTTCTACACTAGATCACAGTTAGTTGACCTAACATTTATGGTGTACCCCTGCTGTAAATACACTCCCTTAGGTAATTAAGTATAGAGTTTTTAGAGAGATGTACAATATATACTATTATATTTTCTGTCAAGTGCTTAATTTTAATAGTGACCATATTTCTTTGCTATGGAGTCCTTGAAATCAGAAGAAAATACCAATGCTAACAAATAAGTTATTCATTTGCTGCAGAAGCTTTTGTAATGGAAGTCCACTGGATTTTGTTGTTTATTGTTAGTAAGTTTATTGTTGTAAAACCTGTCAAGTACATGGTCACACTCTCAAGATTTCACGTACCATAGCTAACAAATTTAACTTTTGAAAATCATAAAAATATTTTCTGTTTTCACCCATTTGTCAGCTTTCACTTGAGCCTCATAAAAATGTTTTGGTGTGGAATTAATTTTTAAAGCTAAAGATGCTCTATAGGAAATCGAATGTATTTTCCTTTCAATTGTGCTAATTTTATATTAATTTTCCAGAGTGAGATCACATGGCATGCACAGGACCAGGGAATCAGGCCTAGCTAGCATGGGTTTAGGAAAGGCAGGTCCTGCCTGACCAACCTGATCTCGTTTTATGGTTAGGTGGCCCACCTCATGGATGAAGTAAAGGCTGTGGATGTGCCTACCTGTATTTCAGCAAAGCCTTTGATGCTGTCTCCTGTCGGATTCCAGGACATCCCTCTGGCTGCCCTGGAGGTCTCGAGACCCTGACAAGAAGTCAAAAACACCTGTGATTTCGATTTTAGCCCGTAGCAGAGGCTGCCAACTCTATGTGAGGAATTACAAGCCACAAGGGTTTGAGTAGTGTAATGGAGGAATTAACGCAGGGTGGAAAACTAGAATTTTGGGGTTTTTAGAATGTAATTCAGGGGTACAAGATGGAGGAATCTGGGCGTGTCCTAGCCTTTTTCTCCTTCTTCTTGTCCTCCATGTCTTGCTGTGATGGTGACACTTTTCTATTGGTTTAGGATAGGGACATGCTGTCCAACATAGATGTTAGATATTGGTGCATTGTTATAAACAGACTGTATGTAACTTTTGATATAAAAAAGTGCCAAGAGGGCACGCCAGACTGCCATGGCTTCTGTACTAGGCAGACTTTGGCAGGTTCAGAGAGAAAATATTATAGATAAGGAGAAATAAACAACCTTGAAAACTCAACTTCACGTATTTCAGACCTCTTCTTTGGCTGCCGGGCTAGGGGAACAAGGACTTTCACACTGTTGGGGTCTCACCAGCTGACCCTGAAAGTCTCCCAGCACTGTCTCAGAGAGGCTGCAACCCATGACTTGATGGGTGCATCTTTGTGGGGTTAAGAACTGGCTGGGTGACTGGGGCCAGAGAGTGGTAGGGAGTGGTGCCACATCCACTATTCAGTCACTAGTAGGGTTCCTCAGGGCTCAGTTTTGGATGATCTAGATGAGGGGATTGAGGCCAAGGCCAACAGTGTCAGGTTCAACAAGGCCGTGAGTCCTGCTGTTGGGTCACCACAACCCCACACAGTACCCCAGGCTTTGGGCAGGGTGGCTGGAAAGCCACTCAACAGGAAAGGACCTGTAGGTGCTGGTCGACAGTGCCTGAATGTGAGCTGGGTGTGCCAGAAGAAGGCCAATGGCATCTTGGCTTGGATCAAGAACAGCATGGCCAGCAGGAACAGGGTAGTGACTGTCGCTTAGTACTGGCCACTGGTTATGCCACACCTCAAATCTTGGGGTCGGTTCTGGGCCCTGCAGTACAAGAAGGACATTTAGGGGCTGAACTGTGTCCAGAAAAGAGCAAAAGAGCTGGAGAGTCAGTCATTGAGGAGTGGCTGAAGGAGCTGGGTCTGTTAGACCTAGAGAAAAGAAGGCTTAGGTGGGACCTTTTCAGTCTCTATGACTCCCTGACTGGAGGGGTGGAGTCAGGTGGGGGACAAAAGGAAATGGCATCAAATTGTGCCACAAGAGATTCAGGTTAAACATACTTTGCAAACCCATAAAGCGATGTGGCTGTTCAGTTCCAAAATGTTTAAAGAATTTCCATGCAGTTACCTTATGTCTGTCTGTCTGTCATTTTCCTTGAACAATATAGAAGAATAGACTATTCTTTTTTTCCAAGCTGCCTGCAGTACATTGTGGTGTAAGGTTTGAAGATGTATCAGTGAAAGGCTAAGGCTTCTACAACTGAACAACTGTAAAACAGTTTTAAAAGACCTTCTTGCTCTAATTAAGATATTTTAAAGAGTGAATAGCTGTGTTAATAATTTGGCATGGAAGACAAAAAGATCATCAATTAAATGTGTCCTTTAAGAGTCTGGATTTTTGGGAGTCTTTTTCCTCTCCTAGGTGTCTTGTTTTCTGCAGCTGAAAACTTATTGGAAGACGCCTCTTATTTCTACATATCTCCTGTCTATTGTCCTCATTTAGCGTGCAACTTTTGTGACCTGTGTATTAAAGAAAATTGGAGATTCTATGTTTAAAATAGATTACACTTCTACAGTATGTGGAACTACTTAGGGTACAGGCAATAGGAGAGTAAATATGAAAGTAAATAAAGTACTAAATAAAGGAGTAAATAAAGACTTAATGGTTTCATTAAGTCTTGTGTATTTTAATACCTCTGCTTCCCCAAAGAGACTATAGTCCATGTTCCTTGCTATCCAAACTGGTTTTCTTTATGCCATAAATTAACTTTTCTGTATATGGAACAAAGATTTTTCCAAGCAAGCTAAAGTTGAAACTTCCGTGTTGTCCAGCTGTGCAAATTTTGACATAATTCCAAGATTGTTTAGAAGAGATTTGATCAAAACAAGCTGTGACCATCCTGGTTTTGGACACGTTACTCCAGATAACAGGTTCATAGAATGGTTTGGGTTGGATGAGACCTTCTATATTGTCTAGTCCAACTCCCTGCCACAGGCAGGGACACCTTCCTCTATCCCAGGGCGCCCCAAGCCTTATCCAGTGCAGCCTTGGACACTTCCAGGGATCCAGGGGCAGCCACAGCTTCTCTGGGCACCTGTGCCAGGGCCTCACTGCCCTCCCAGGGAAGAAATTCTTCCCAATATCCAATCTAAAGGTTATAATCCATGTTTGATTTAACATTTTTGCTCTGAAAATGGCTTTGCAAGGGGTGTTTTTCAGGCTAAGTATTCAGAACTAAATTTGCATTATAGTTTGGTAGTCTAGAAAGATATGGAATAGGACAAGAAACAGTAGTATTCAGAAACAGTGTGAAAGTTAATCTGTCACTCAAAAGTACTTTAAAATTATTAAAAGGGGAACTACTTAACATTTTACTTACAGAATAAAAAAATGAGACAAGTGTATAATAAAAAGTTTAAAAAAAGCATTTCTGCATTTCAGTAAGCTAAAGGATTATACAGTACTTACTCAGTGATTCATTTGAGCAGAATGGTCATGGTAGTGGTGGTTTGGTTTTGTCAGTTCATTCCATTTCCAAAAAAAGAAAATACTCTGATAATTCATTGAAAGCCAATCCAAGTTGGTTAAATGACTGTAACCTTTCCAGTAAATTTAGATTCTAAACTATAGGGCTATCTGATCTTTTATAAATATAGGTATTTTTAAAAGCGCTCAATACCTTAACACTGAAGTAAAATTCTGTATGTTATTTACAGGTGCCGACTGTTCAGACTTCGCTATCTGAATCTCCAGTGATGACCAGCCCTTCTCAGCGTATCCAGATAATTTCCACAGACTCCTCTGTATCTTCACCACAACGCATTCAGGTAAAAATCCATTAATTAACCAACTGTCATCATATATTTTCTTTTTTTCTTCTCCTCGTACTTACCTTTATACAAAAGTATGCTAAAGACTATGGAATACTTCCTTTAATTCTTATGAGATCGGGTAATTTTTAGTGAAAACTAAAATTCTTTTTCCCTCAGTATTGGTGCTGACTTGATGGCTATATATAATAGTTAGCCAGTGAGGAGTCTTAACACAGGTTAAACCTTGCCTGCACAAGCAAATCACCTGAGCTCTGGCCACCGCAGAGGGTGAGATATTGTCAACAGAAATCTGAGATCGTCTCCAAGTGCATTCTTCTTCCCACTTATTTAGGAGCTGGTAGGAGATGAATCTATTTAGCACAAAGCTGGCCTTCGGGAATGGTGCACAGTGGGACTTGGTTACTGGTAGACAATAAAAAGATATCATTAATGTATCAGAATGTATTCAATGGCAAATTATATAGGACTTAATAAATTTTAATGAAATACTAGTGTACATTGATACAGTTACTCTACCAGGCAAAATAGAGATCATGCTACCAGACAACTGTATTGGAAATAGAAACTTTCCATCATAAGAGAATCTTGAGAATCAGCATGGGAAACAATAAGGCTGCCTGATTCCATCTTTTCTGATAACTTTAGGGAGTAACATCTTGCATAAAATATGTAGGTTAAAAATGCATTGGTAAATGTTAACTGGGGAACATCTCCATAGTGCCATTTATAAAGAAAAATTTGAGAGAGTTTCTTTGTAATTTTTCACTGATATAATTCTGACATGGAATGAAAGGTTTTAAAACATAAAATCTACTGTGGTCACTAATTTCTTCAATGATTTACAGATTGTGACAGATCAGCAAACAGGTCAGAAAATTCAAATAGTGACAGCAGTGGATTCAGCTGTGTCTCCAAAGCAACAATTCATTTTAGCTAGTCCAGATGGAACTGGTGCAGGAAAGGTGATCTTGGCAGCACCTGAGACATCTAATGCCAAGCAGCTTATCTTTGCCACCACAGACAACATTGTACCAGGCAGAATTCAGGTAAATACAGTAATATTTAGATAAACCATGGAGCTTTGTTGTGGTGTTTTTGTTGTTGTTGTTGTTGTTTTTGCTAAATTAAGTCTAAATTGCTTAAGACCATTTGCAGTAGTTTTCTCATTACATGGATCAGACATACTAATTTTAGACTTCATTTTTCAATCATAAATCCTTCTGTCTTCACCTACCTCATGTATTCCATTGCACTTATCATCCTTTCTTGTGTGTTCTTGTTCAGGTTCCAAAGACATAAGGGAATCTTTAAGGTATTGCTTGTGAGAAGTGCCAGGATTTCTCAGTCTAAGATTCACTGATATACAGAGATACAACTCACCTGAGCAAATCTACATGAGTTTGTACTTTATATTCAGTATCAAGACATTGCAATAAAGCTCTGTTATGTTATTATTTATGTGTGTCTTGAGCATAATCTACATGAACAGAAGCTTTGCAAAGCCAATGATGTAACAATAATCCGTGTCTCATGAAATTTCAGATTTCTTCCTAGCAGTCTTAAAAAAAAGAATAAAACAATTGAGAAAGTGCCTGGTGTCTCTTGTTACTGTTACAATAGAGAATAATTTACACAAAGAAGAGTAACTTTTACATAGATATTTTAAAAATGTTATAGAAGTCTTCTAAAATTCATTTTTCCATGCTAAATAGGATATCTGACATTACAGAGGGGTTGGGTTTTTAATTTTTTTTTTTTTATTTTTTTTTTTAATTTTTTTTGTTAAATAGAATGTTCAGAACAGAAGTTTTGGAATCCAAGGCCTTTGGAAGCTAAACTGTTTCTATGGTAGAGCTGAGCTCCAGGCTATCCCCTCTGAACCATACATCCCTAATAGCTAGAGAAGACATAGATGGGAAGAGCATCTAAAAGCCAACTGTTTTAGGCTAAAATATAGCAGCTGCTTGAGAGTATTTGCAAGAAGGGAAAAATACTGTTGATTGCACAAGTGAGGAAACATTTGTAATAAACAAAGCTAGCAGTTTTATTTGTCATTTGTTTTGATATGACTATTTCAAAAGTCTCACTATTGTCAGTAAGAACTCTCATTAAATTGCATTTTACACTACTTAATTTCATTCCACATGCCATACGTATTCATAAATTCAGTCCTCTCTTCTTTACAAGCTGATACACCAGTCTTGTTCTATAGGCAAGACTCCTTAACTCTATATCTAGCTAATTACATTTTTTTATTCTGGAATTTTGCTTTAGATAGTGACAGACTCTGCTTCAGTGGAACGTCTGCTAGGAAAAACTGATGTTCAGCGGCCCCAGGTAGTAGAATATTGTGTAGTCTGTGGTGATAAAGCATCAGGTAAGGAAGCATACAAAGTGGTATTGAAGAAACTTGCTTGAAAAGATGACTGGGATGAAGAGATGATTTTTCATGTGCTTTAACTGATTTTATTCATGCTCATGGCAAAAACAATTGTGTTTTTAAATGGAAAAATATACTTTGTAGCTATACACAAAAAATAGCTAAACTCTGCTTGGAAAAATATTAGGTTTTCTCCTTGAGCATATGATAAATTGGCTTAAATATAAAATAATTATTAAATTACTCCTGGTAATTGAAAAAGACTGCTTGAAGCGTGTAGTTAAGTTCCCCACCGTGATGCACAGCCATCAAATAAACATGTCACCTAAAAATGTATAACTACTCCAAGAAAATGCTTCTTAGTGCTCTTTAACAGACTTAACACTTCCTGGTAGATTTTGTTCTTCTACTATCACAAAACAAGGCAAGCAGAGACTATGTGAATCCTCAGTGCTTCAGATCCATGCAGTAACAAGGAGTCTTAAGATAAAATTTTTATATTAGTCAATTTTTATATTAGTTCTGTGCTATCATCCTAGAGAGGAGACACCCTTCTGTCTTTTTTTCTCACTTTCTTTTACTTCTTCAAGTGTTTATGAAATTAAAACAATACCAGAATTAATATGGACAGAAAATTTAAATTAAGATTGCATTTTAAATTTTGGTATAAAATTACTTGTTTTCTGAAATTGCTTGAGCTCTTAGCTGATATATTCTCTAAATGTATCCTATAGTCTGTAACAGCAGATAGAATTGTATCTGTACTTAACACAGAGTGGGAACTACACCTTCATCAACCACATGTTCAGAAATAGCTTGAGCCTTCCTCTCTTCTCTCCACTCTCTCACCAAAACTCCTGACAATAGGTAAACCAGAAATATCTTGTGAGACTGTAGTAATGCTTTCATGGTCCAAAATGCTGGCACAAATCCAAAACAAATTTAAAGGGTGACTTACAGCGTTCTACTTGTTTAAAATGAATGTTTTTATGCTAAAATATAAGTGATTTCCAACTGATAATATATATGTTTCCTAGGTCGTCACTATGGTGCTGTCAGTTGTGAGGGATGCAAAGGTTTCTTTAAAAGGAGTGTAAGGAAGAATTTGACCTACAGTTGTCGTAGCAACCAGGACTGTATCATCAATAAACACCATCGGAATCGATGCCAGTTTTGTAGGCTTAAGAAATGTCTAGAGATGGGCATGAAAATGGAATGTGAGTGTTAAGTACTCAATGTGACATTGTGCCTACCAAATAACAATTATGTGGACTACCGCTTGTTAATGTGTTCTCTCTGTTTTGGTATATGTTGCTTGTAGGAAACAGAACATTTTGGCAGCATCTAGTGCACCTTTCTTCCATCACCATTTTATTTCTGAGGTGCAGTAGTGGTTTTTTTTGGAGACCACATCTCCAAGTACTGTTGTCTTTGAGGAGCCCAGTTAGAGCCTCACTTACAATGCGTGTTCCAAACACAGTGTATGTTTATAATAGAAAATATTTTGATGTTGATTGACATGAATCTGAGTCTAATATTCTGTTTGAGAATCTGCTTTCCTTCTAGTTTATTTTTACGGCTTTTTCAGCCAATGATAGCAAATAGTTAGTCTTTTTTTCCCCTCTTTTTAAATTTTTATGTTAATTTGGTAATTTATGAGCAGTGTTTTATGTGGCATTGTATAAACTGCCATATGTTTTAAAATATGCTTTCATGTTTGTATGTAGTACTTCATACATTTCCAGTGCTAGCAGTGAAACACTTGTTTCAATATATTTTTGTTTTCAGTTTATATCACCTGTTTTTTAATTTAGCACTATGTGAAACAATGACAAGGTTATTTTATGATCTGATTTAAGCCGGGTAAATTCCAGCCACCGAGCTCAAGGGAGGCAAAACATTAAGCTGTAAATAGGAACATAATTGTTGTATTTGCCCTCTAAAACTCCAGACCTATTGTGATGATTCTGCTGCTTTGCGCACAATGTGCTGAATATAAAATAGACATTTGTACAAGAAAAACTGCTGCAGTTTCAGAAAGTAAACCTTTCTTAGTCCAATATGATTAGGGTATATGTTTATTGACTTCACTGTCTTTGGGTCAGGCCTCTTATTAATTTACATGTATTCACCAAGCCAATAAGTTTGATATGCCAACTTTGAAGCCCCTAAATTTTGCTAATAGTAACAACAATACCAAAAATAAAATCAGGAACTAAGTAACTCTTGCTGGTTATGAGGATAACTTTCTGTAATATGTTTAATAATAACATTTTAATATTATAAAGATGCACTTGTCACTTTCTTTAAAAGTTACAAAATAATTGCTTCTTGCTATTTTTTATTTAAAAATTTGCTACACTTGTTCAGCACTTCAGTGACTGAACTTAGTTTCAATTTTCAAATATAAATGTAGATTATGAAAGGGTTTTGGAACATTCTTCCCTAACTGTGAGGAATTAATGGCTCTGAGTGAAGTCTATGTCATGCATGTAGTATCCTCTCAAGGAATTAACCTGCATCTCTCAGGTAGCTTGCCTCTCTTGACTTTTTCAGGGTCCCTTCTGGGTTTGCATTGTTCTGTGTCATCCAGAATAGGAATGTGCCTAACATTTAGATATAGCTGTTTCTGTTAAAAAAAAAAAAAAAAAGCAAACAAATTGAAAACACAATCTGTAGAATCTTCCATCTTATCAAATGCCAAAAAAAGATCACAAAACTTGAAGCAAAAGATCAATCTGTGACTTTCTTAGTTAAAAGTATATCTAAAAATACACATACTCACAGATATAGTAACATAGGAGCCTGCATTTCTTCACTCTTGGTATTAAATTTCCAGTTTTGAACTGAGCTGGTACACTATTAGAACTGCAGCAATTTCATTTACTTTATGTATTTTTTGTTTTAATTATTTCCTTTAAAATCTGTATGTTTCTATCTTTATGTAGCGGTTCAAAGTGAAAGGAAGCCTTTTGATGTGCAACGTGAAAAACCAACCAACTGTGCAGCTTCTACTGAAAAAATCTATATAAGAAAAGATCTTCGAAGCCCTCTAATAGCAACTCCAACATTTGTGGCAGATAAAGATGGGACACGGTGAGTATTTCAGTTCCACGCATCTTTCACGTTATTTGTGCATATTACTTTGCAGTCACACCTGATATTCCTCATCCCCTCTGCTCTCAGAGGGAACAGAAAAGAACTCTAATGTACACATCATCTGTTTCCATTACCAAGGCCAATGTAGGTTCTGGTTCTCATGAAAGCTTTTGTGTCTGCACACAGGTATGTGGTTTTCAGTTCAGAGCTGGCTCTTGTCCAGGTCAGAGCAATGCAGAGCAAGTGAATGATACTCAAGCAGAAAGCATGTAGGCTAATGCTGTGATATATTTGCATTAGCACTTCTCTGAGATTAGATCTGCAAGTGGCAGACTAAAGCTTCCTTCTCCTAAAAACACTAGTTAGGGAGACTCAGTGACTGCTGATTCAAATCCCACGAGACTGGTTTCAACAACAGCAAAACAGCAGCTTCCTTTTAGTATATGGAAGATACTCCAAGGTGGTTCCTGCACTCTCATATGGTCTCCTTAGGCAATGGGTGGGAAAATGCACATCATTACAAACAAAGGCAAGATTTCTTTCTTTTTCTGAATAGAATTTAAAAAGTCTAGGTTAAATATGACATTTTTATAACTGTAATTTATGAATGGTTGAGAACTATGTAAAAATTGGATTTTATTATTCAGTTTTCATATGGGGGAAGTGTGTGTGTTTAATTTTTCATATACATATTCCTTGTTGAACAAATGACACTGCAGTTAGGAAGTTTGGACTGCAGGTTTCTTGGAGAATTGTTTTTCAGTGTTCTTGTTTGAAAGAAGTACTTACAGAGACATCTGCTCTTAAAAATTTTCTTGAGCTACAGATCCATTATAGACCTATAAACACTACTATAGTTATTAAGAACCACTCTGTTATTTATGTAGGATTCAGATTTGCATAATGCATGATAATTTGCTGCCTGTGCTTGTTGACAATGATAGCTACAAGTGTCAGACCCCTTGTACTGTAATGTCCTGCAGTCTTGCACCTGTGTTGTGTGCATTGGTATTGTTTATGGACAATTGGAGCATCACATAAGTAGCAAGTCAACTTCTTGCTGACTGCAAAGACTTCCCACTGTCTCCCTAAATTAGATATAGGAGAGGGGAAGGACATTTGTTCACAAAGCAGCAAAAGTAAAGGCAGCAGAGATTTTATGCAGGCTTTGATTACAGGACTGTTTCTGACTATGTTTTGTAATGTAAAAAATATTTTTATTACTTTTATTCAGTGCTGGCCAATGTCTTGGTTGGATTACAGAATTATGCCTTCCTTCAAAGTCTAATATAAAATTAGAGCTACTAGGTGACTTCTGAGAGCATGAGATGACAACGGGTTTCCTTGAAGCACACTAACCCAGAACAAAAAGCAAATGAGAAGATATGCATTTGGGAAGTTGCCATTGTTTTGCACTGGAAATTATAAGATCTGTCTTTCCGGCTACTTTCTGGGAACTGTTTCAGAAAGACTTAAGTCCTGTTAAATAAATTGTAAGCTTCACTAAAATTTTAATTACAAAACCGGTAATTGTTTTTATGCTCTCATGAGTTGGTACACGTTCTTTTTATTAATGAAAAATACTATTGACCATCAGATGCCTTACACTTTTGAACAGGTCAGCTGGTCTTCTGGATCCGGGAATGCTTGTGAATATTCAGCAGCCTTTGATCAGGGATGATGGTACAGTCCTCCTAGCTGCTGATTCCAAGGTATTACTGGCTCACTTCAGTTCTGAGATATCTGTTAATTTGTTCAGGTTACTTTATCTATTGCACCTAGTCTCAAATAGTTGTTGCTCTTGAGAAGATAAGGTTATGATAAGTGTGAAGAACCGTATGAATGGATGCAGTAAATTGATCAATAGGATTGTGGTTTCTTTTGGCAAGCATATTTCTGTAATGGGTCAGCCACAGGTAGATCTCAATATGATGTCTCATCGGGGACTAGGATTGATAATTAAAATAGAATTTAAAGATAATTGAGAGCCATTGTTCTTCATGGGATTCAGGAAGAAGGAAAAGGTACATGGGGAAAAAGAACAAAAAGGTTGAAAATGGGGGGGGAATTATATATGAGATATTAACTATAATTTTGATTTACTAATATAGTGTTTTCTTTTTAGGCTGAAACAAGCCAGGGTGCCTTAGGAACACTAGCAAATGTTGTAACATCTCTTGCTAATCTCAGTGAGTCACTAAATAATGGAGATACTTCTGAAGTTCAACAAGAAGAGCAATCTGCAAGTGAGATTACAAGGTATGCATTTATATTTACTTCTTATTTAGTAATTTCTGTTCTGTGTGGTGTATCCTTGCACTCATTCATTATAAGGAATTTGGCGTGGTTACACCAGACACAGTATAGATTGCCAGATTGCCCCTACTTTGAAACTGTTTGAAACAGTTCTTTAGAAATTAGTTTTGGCTCTTGCCCTCTTGTGAAGAACTGTGTCCAGTGTTACAAATATAGGGTTCTAAAGCTAGACTGCATTTGGTTATCAGAAAAATAATGAATTACTAGTTTGTGACCTTGAAAGACTCTGAGAATAGCAACATTTTAGTGCCATTTTATTTCACAGGTATGTTTTATGTAAGCTTCTCCTTTGCAATGCTTGTGCCCTGAGCCCTGCTCTTTGGCAGTCTCCATTACTGCAGATTTATTTTTGAGATTGTGCTGCCATAAAATCTCCTGGTAATGTAGATTTAGAAAGAGTTTGAAGTCTTTCCTTTCTTAATGAAAAATATATGAAAAAGGAGCATGGAATATTAAAATTTCCAGCACAGCTTGAGATTTGCAAGGCTGGGATATTTTTGTTGGATGTTTTTGGTTGTGTTTTTTTGTGGGGGGAGGCAGGTTGGTTGAATTTAGAAGTATAAGTTAATAAGATAAAATACTTGGACACAGAATTGTCCACTGTTTCTCAAAAATAAGATTTTTAGGAAGAGCTTAACTGTTGGAATCCTGGATGCTGAGAATTTGAAACTTTCTGTGCTTAAAGGCACAGACCCACAAGAGAACACCACATTTGACCTGAGGTCATGGAACAGGCTTTTAAAATTGATTAATAGCACTGGGATTACGGGTGTGTAGTTGGTTAGAAGTCTGTAATATCACAGGATGGAAAACTTAGAGTTTGGGGTTTTAGAATACAGAAATAAATATGAAGCAAGATGGAGGTTTTAGGCTGGAGACAGGTTGTTCTTTACCTTCTTCTTCCTTCCTCTTCATGGGTTTGGGTGATGTTTTGTGATTGGACACAAAGGTTCGCTATGTGGGCTTCGGGGGATCAGTTATTGAGTTAAAAGGGAAAATAATTTAGGTGTCCTTTCTTAATTGGATAGTTTCGTTTTAAAAGACCATGTAACAAAAGTTAGTTAGCTATTTTGTGCCTTGCTAATGAAAAAGCTACCGAACTCATGGTTGTGAGGCTGTAACATAGATAAGAAATAATAAACACCTGAGTCCAAACATGAAATACTGTCTCAAGTGCCTTCAATCCCGACCTCGAGGAACTGATACTTAACTGTCATGATTTAGGAATGGTATTCTCCAGTTGTAATGTTCACACTTAAACTTGCTCCCCGCTCCGTCTCCAGTCAGAGGCACAAAAGGCAGAGATCACAGGCTGAAACAGGAACAATTTACTGGAAACAGCAATGAGACTAGGAAACAAACAGTAACAGCAAAATGAAACAGTAATAGCAACAACATTAATAACAAAAGGTATAACAAAAATTATTTACACAGAAAAGCCCCTGACAATAAACAAATACCAGACCAGTCTGCCCACTACACCAACTGGAAAACACCTCTCTGGGAGGGGAGAGAGAGAGCACGAGAGAGAAAAGGACATAAATTAATGTCCATCTGGGCTGGCTGGGTTAAAAGGAAGTATATAATGGATAGTTCCACACATGAGAAAAACAAGATACTGTACCCAGGGAAGGAAAATGCTCCTTTATTTCTATTAATTAAGGCTCTTAAGTCTTTCATGTGAAATCTTCAAGTGAAGTCAATTAATATTTTAAAATACTTGACACTGCAATGTCATCTTATGTCTTACTCCTTCTTTAAAGCAGAAGAAAAATTTCTAAAAATACCTCTACCAAAAAAACAGCTTGACAAAAAAAATGGCAAAGAAGCACTATACCATAATACTGTCCACTGGTATGAAATTGGAACACAAAATTCTTCTTTACATTTAAGCTCTGTTAATCCAAAGAGAATTTACAGTGATCTATTTGGGTAATGATCCAGCAACAGCTTGAGTATAACAAAGACCAGGGACCAGTCAAACTTGTGGTACTGTCATAAGGCTTTTAAGGCTCTATGTATATCGGGAGATAAGGAGTGCTTGCCTGTATTTCATCTTAAGGGATAGGAAATTCAGGCCTATTGTCTAGAAGAAAACCACACTGTTCTCCACTGTTCCAAAAAGCTGGAGATCAAGGATGGGGACAAGGACAGGGACTTTGTTCTTCAGAATACATCTGGTCTGTAATCCTCACTGAATCTCTGAGAAGGGGGAATAGTGAATGCTACATGCAAGAGGACTATTGAGGTTATGCCCTGTAAACAGCTAAGCCTCACACAGCTGCTCCCTCAGTCCAGTGGGACTGGCGGTAGACTCAGAAGAGCAAAAGTGAGAAAACTTGTGGGTTGAGATAAAGACAGTTTATTAGGTGATGCAAAAGCCAGACACACAAGCAAAGTAAAGGAATTCATTCACTACCTTCCATGGGCAGACAGGTGTTCAGCCACCTCCAGGACAGCAGGGCTCCAGCATGTGTAACAATTACTTCCAAAGACAAATGCTATCACTTCAAAGATTTCCCCACTTTCTCTTTCTTCTCCCTTCTTTATATAAGTGTGATATCACAAAGTATGGAAAAAGCCTTGTATCAGTTGGGGTCAGCTGTCCTGGATGTGTCACCTCCCAACTTCTTATGAACTCCCAGCTTCTTCACTGAAGGGAGGACAAGAAGCAGAAAAGGCTTTTATACTGTGCAAGCACTGCTGTGCATAGCAAAAACATCTCTATATTATCAACATTGTTTTCAGTACAAATCCAAACTATATCCCCATACTAGCTGTAGTGAAGAAAATTAACTCTATCCCAGCCACAACCAGCACAGCACAAGACCCCTTTACTAGTACAAATACTAGGCTAAAACTATCCAAGCAGGATTTACAGTATGAAATCCTCCCCTTACAGGGGAGGTCTTTTACCAGCAGTATGTGGGCACATCTATTTGTTTTATTAATGTCCAAAGAGTACAGAGGGACCAAATTGCAATGAAAAGTCTGACCTTGTGTCATCCTAAAGATTTCTTGTGTATGTTGAGTCTAAGTGGAAATACTTTATAGCATTTAATTTGAGCACTATGAATTTTTTAAGATCTAAGGAAGCACTCTTTCATTGTTTACTTTTTTTTTTTTTTAGGGCATTTGATACTTTGGCTAAAGCACTTAATACCACAGATGGTACAACAGCTCATAACTTGGCAGATGGGGTGGATCCTGCAGGAGGAGGGAATATTCATGTAATCAGTAGAGATCAGTCAACACCAATTATTGAAGTGGAAGGACCCCTACTTACAGATACACATGTCACATTTAAGGTGTGTGCTTCTTTAAATGTCCTACTAAACAAGCTAATGCTTAAGATGTATGAGCTCCCACATAATTTCCTGTCTTGTATTGTCAATTTGCATTCCTTGCCAGTAGTAGTGAGTTATTTAGTACAATTTTTCTTTGACAACTTCTTGTCACACTATTGATTGTGATGGACTATGAGAGTAGTTTGAATGTTTTTGCCAGTTATTTCGCCGATGATAAAAACTGGTTTATGTCTGAACTATATGTGTTGTACTGTACTTTTATTTTTTGCAGCTGACAATGCCCAGTCCGATGCCAGAGTACCTTAATGTACACTACATTTGTGAGTCAGCATCACGACTACTTTTCCTCTCTATGCACTGGGCTAGGTCCATACCTGCATTTCAAGCTCTCGGGTAAATGGACATACTCCATTTGAATGGTTTGCTTCTGAATAAATCTAAGCAGTGATTTGAATGCTTCCCAGCTATTTTCAACTTTTTAGTTACAATATTGTTTAATTTTTAATTAATATTTTAAAATATGTGAAGACTATGCAATATTCCCTGTTTTGAAGAATAAAATAGAAGGTGGCAGAGGGGAGGGTAACTACAATATCTGATGTTACTGTGGTTGTAGAAACTAAAGCCAAATTAAAAGCAATTTGTAGAAATTAAATCCTTGCTTTTGATACCTTACTAAAGAATTGATGAGCACCATTTCATGGATAACCCAAAATGGTTTCCCACAGTCTATAATTTCTTTTTGCTTCTTGAAATACTTGTAATATGCTAATATATGCCTGTTACCAAAATGTTTTGCAGTAGATTAATCCTTACTATGAATTTTTATACATAACATAATTATACATAAGGCAATACCAAGCTGATATGCAAACTACCTAATGTTTTTTGATTTTCTGCTGTTTATAGGCAGGACTGTAATACGAGCCTTGTGCGTGCCTGCTGGAATGAACTGTTTACCTTAGGCCTGGCACAGTGTGCACAGGTGATGAGTCTGTCAACTATCCTGGGAGCGATTGTCAACCACCTCCAGAACAGCATACAAGAAGGTATGTTACGAGTACTGCTAACAATACAGGGACGTTTGGATAACATTGCTCACAAGGTGTTCCCCATCAGTGACAGAATTGTTCACCAGGAGCCAGGAGAAGGTGAAGCTTTCTCTGGCATAATTATCTTTCCCCTGGTGATCTACAGTTTTGTTGCACTGATGTCACAGAGATATCTGTGGGACAGAAGTGTCTGTAGAGGCAAGGGGGTCTTCTATGCCTTACTGATATTACAGAGAAAGACAGTACATCCTAAAATATTTTATTGGATGTGCTCAGAGAGTTTTCTTCCCATCCAGATGTATGTTTTTTCCTCTTAAAATAATTATATCCTCTTCCAAACCACACCAGACTTTTTCCTTCCAGAACTTTCCTTCTCTTTGTGGTGTAAAAACACAGCATTTGCCAAGCATATTCTTGCATGTCTAATGGTTTTGGATACTACTATAATTCAATAATGATTAATGTATTTTGAAGTGCCCTTGAAGCATTAAGCAACCTAATTTCTTGAATTCTTGAATTCTTAACAAGATGTATGTAACTTTATGTTATAATTCAATATTGGTCTGTTGATAATGATGATTATATCCAGAATGGATGAAAATCTGTTATATTTGCTGGTTTTTTCATTCTTTAAAGACACTTCCAATCAATAGGATTGATTAGCATGAAAATAATATTCATTTTTAAAAGGAGGAAGAAAACAATACTAGCAGTTTTAAACTCTGCAAACACAGTAGTTCATGAGAACTACTTTAAATTTACATGTCTGTTAAAAGCACTTATAGAATACTATTTGGTACCATTTTAAAATATTTTTAATGGTGTCATTATTGTGCACACAGCAAAAATTAGAAAATAGGTTTTTACTGAGGAGAGTAAAACAGATGTATTTTTCTATAGCTGAAGGATATTAAATATTTTTCCAGCTATCTTCTTTGTATATTTTATAGTTCTACAATCGAGTTTTAATCTACTTTATTAGCTTCATCATAATAAAGTAAATTAGACTGAAATTTGATTATTAAATGGATAGTATGCTTTAATTGCTTTCATAATGAATATAGAATTTTTTCTTGTTTTGGTTTTGAGGTTTTTCTTGTTGGTTGGTTTTTGTTTGGTTTGTTTTCTCATTTAAGAGAGCCTGGACAATCCCAAAATACAACAGAGTGCTGCTCCTTTCCTGCACAGAGAGGCAAAAGTTGAAAAGATCAGTAGGGAAACCTGCATACTGGATGTCCTATGCAAAGTTAGGCTTTTATTTTATATCTGTTTCAGAATACACAGAGTTGTCTATTCCACATTTGTTCCAAGCAGTGGAGAGGAGTAAGTGGCAGGGCTATTACAGCTGGTTCCACTTCTGTTCTTATGTATCAATATTGTAAAAAAACTTTTTTTTTTCTATAACCTGTATTGGACTCATACTGCATTTGCTGAGACCAGCCAATAAAAGAGGATCATTAGTGTTATTCATCAGTTCTGCAAAGTTATCATGTTATATTGTATATAATACCTTCAAAATTCAAAACAGAGTGAAGAAATTTCAGAACTTTATTTATTTATTACTGATGAAGCTACTTAGAAACTCTGGAATTCTAGTTTGCTTTTCCTGAGTTTCTCTGGACCATATTTTCCCACTTAATACAGGAATGAAAACATTACATTATGTCAATCTTCATCCATCTTGAGTAAAAATTTGTATCACAATTAATGATTTAAGAAATGTAGATTATGCTTTCATTCTTATTGCAAGACTGTGCAAAAAATGTTTCTTCCATTCATTCAACCTTCTTATTGCAGTTTCAGAAAATAGATAAAATAGTAATAAACTATGTCAAAGATTCAGTTTAAACCACATGGTGTCTAAGCAATCCTATGCAGAATTAGCTGTATAGAGAAAAATAAAATACTCAAATTAAAATTATATTAAATACTTGCATTGGAGATTATAACTGGAATAAAATTATTCTAATGTGTTTTTCAATGAAAGGTTTTATCCCTTGTAAACTGACTTACTTCTGAAGTTCGATAATAGTAATTATATATTCAAAAATCTGTCTTAATGTATTCTGTAATGTTTTTATTCCTTGACTAGTTTGTAGATATGAAGTTCAATATAAGGATTTGTATTTACCAAAATAGAACTCTCTACCTTCCTATTTTAGCAGCTAATTCCACTCACTAGTAATAGATCTATACATAAAATAAGTTTTTAAAATTAGAATTTTAAGATAGACTATTAACCCAATATAAGGAATGTGATCTTTCAAATGCTAGAAGAATCTCCATACACACTGTGTATATGTATTTCAGTGAATTTACCCTATCACATGGAAAAAGACTATTTACCATAGCTAATGAAAAGTTCACTCCTAAAAGTACAGATAGAGGAGAAGGTAGCACTGTCATTACTGTTCTTGCATTCACTTTTGGAAAGGCTAATTCAATAATGTTTGAATTTAAAATTAGGGTTGCATGTTAGCATTTGCTTTGTGCTTCTGTTCATTCCCAGAATTGCCCTAGTCATTTGTAGAATAATGCACCATAATTTCTGAATCTTTGCTCAGAACAGTACATCACTGGAAAAAGTTTGGTGTGGCAGATTATGCTATCCTGGCAAAATTACACAGAAGAGTTAACATTCTGTTTGCTAGCTCTAGGTCTGACTCAACTTTATAAATTCACTTTGCTTTCATAATAATTCAGGCCATCCTTACATGTTAAGTGCTTCTAAGACAGCAAAAGACTTGCAAATATTACTTGACTTGGTTTATAAAACTTCATTTGTTAATATATTAGTAATGCTTGAGCTCAGATGAAATGGTAAGCAATATCTTTTTGTAGATAAACTTTCTGGAGACAGAATAAAGCAAGTCATGGAACACATCTGGAAACTTCAGGAGTTCTGTAACAGCATGGCCAAGATTGATATTGATGGATATGAATATGCATACCTTAAAGCTATAGTCCTTTTTAGCCCTGGTAAGGAATTTAGTAACCATATATTTTTAAATAATAAGCCTTAATATGTCAATTCTTTAGCATTTTTTAAATGAGACTAATGTCTTGAGATGAGACTCATCTGTTAAGTTGCAGATAAAATTATTGTTTCGTTATGATTATCACAATATGTGTTTCAAAATAACTTCAGAGCAGCATATCCCATGTTATTTACAGTTCCAATCTATCAGGTGTTTCCTGTACATCCACCCTAGGAAATTAGATGCTCAAGTTACCTGCAGCTGAGAATCTATGAGTAGTAAATCATCTGGAATGTGTACTAGCAATATTATTGAGGTAAATGGTGAGAAGGATTAGAAGAAATGCATTCTCCGAGTGGCAAAAAGAAATTAGCTTCAATTTTAGTATTTTTAATATATTCATAAGAGGAATAGCTGAAATATGAGCAGAAATACCTATTTTATATGAAACTTCCACAAAATCTCAAAAACTGAATGTAAACAGGCATTCTTCCATTTGTTATGAAAAAATGACAGCAGATAGCTAAAGCAGAATCAAGTGTTTCTGAAATACGAAAATTTACTCGAAGAAGACACTCGAGATTTTCTGGAATTATTAGGTAAGGACATTAAAGAAACTGTTAAGTGGCAGTCTTTTCAGCAAAGATGGCAAATGTTTCTAGGACACACAAAGGTTAATCTAAAACTGCTGACAGGCTGAATAGAAGGGAATGTTTTGCTCAGAAATGCGTATTATTTATTTTAATTCAAAGGTATTTATCACTTTTTACTTAACAGAATACAAAGTAAAAGGATATATTGTTATTGGTGTTTTTGCTTGGGGTGTTTTTGCATTGATAACTATTTTTCTCTTTGTAATAAAACTTAATTAGAAGATACTGGTGTCCTGAAATGTTATTTCGATTTTTTTTTTGGGAGATTGTCCCATTAGAGTTACGTTTATTAGGGGTTTTGTTCAAGTTGGAAAAGCATGAAACTATCCAAACTCAAGGTAGCCCTTTCCTATTTCAAGGGACAAGCAGTTTGGACACAACAGTGAAGATATTTTGGCATACTAAGAGAAGTGATACTTTGTGGATTTGCTTTTTTTTTTTACTCTGATCACGTGGTGTCTGAGGAGCTGAGCCAGCTGGAACTAAAACATGAGACAGACTTAAGAAGATTAAGACATTGATCTATCAAGAAAATAACCCTAGATACTGCTTAGCCAGCCTAGTTAGAACAAATCACATGTTTACATTTAAAACAAGCAAAGTTAAATTCTGTGTCCTTGCCTGGTACACACATACAAGCTTAATCTTTGTCCACTTTCTTATGGGTACACACAGCTCTAGAGAGAAAAGTGAACAAGCTAATTCTGAAGCCAGGAAGTAAATGTTCATCGTTATATGGCTAGCATGTTAAACATCACAATACCAGATAAATATTTCATTGAAATTAAATGTGAGAATCTTATAAATACATTTATTTCACAATGTATAGGGAAACAATCGACATACAGAAATGTTTTGTTTCTTTAGATCACCCTGGTCTGACCAGTTCAACCCAAATAGAAAAATTCCAGGAGAAGGCACAGATGGAATTGCAGGACTATGTACAAAAAACCTATCCAGAAGATACTTATAGGTATTTATTGTCTAAAGTACCCAAAATAATGTTGTGGGCTGTAGCTAACAGAAGTACAAAATACTGTCATTGATGTTTTTGACATCTGGGGTTTGGGGTTTTTTCTGTTGATGAGAAAGAAATAAAACCTAATTCATAAAAGCAAACAGGTTTGTTTAAAGATACGTAGAAACAAGAATAGCTGTTTGGCTTCCTCCATGTAAATTAAATTTTTTAGTCTTTTCTTGGTTTTTGAGAGGGTTTTTTTTGAGACTTTCATAGTCATGTTCAGAACTTTTTTTAAGTTTTGGGGATAACTGCTTTAACTGACTAATTCACACTGCTAAACGGTGATTATCATCTTGAAATGTTTTTTAAGTTGCATATGCAGAAAATTGTTATAACTGTCAGTTATAGCCCTTGGAAAAATGACAATTACATATAATAAGGAAAAATAACCATTTCTCAAACTTCTGTTTATAAGAAATTCCCACATCCTACTTATTTTCTCCTTTGGGTTTTGTGGGGGGGTTTTTTTGTGGTTTTTTTTTGTTTGTTTTGGTTTTTTTTGGTTTTTTTTTTAATTTCCAAGGACTTCTCTGCAATCATCTAGCTTGGTTTTTTTTCACTTCCAACTATTCTGTTTGTTATATGCTAGAAACAATTACTGTATTTTCTAACGATCCATCAAAACTCAAAATTTATCAACACAATGATTCCCTCCACTATTAGGGAACTCACCTCTGTCTCCAGGACATACTAGAACATGTTCTTTTTTACTGTGAAAGGCATCCTAATGTAAAGAAGAAATCCCATACACTTAAGCATTGTCTGGGAGTGAAGTAACTAAAAAGAAGAAAAAAACCTGTCTGAAAAAGAGAGCTTCTCCCACCTCTGTTTTCTGCACTGATCTTACAGAATTAACACTGTGGTGCAATGAAAATAGGATTCTCTGCCTCAGAATTATCCTCAAATCCCATATTCTTCCATGTACAATTGAGGCTTTCTCTTTTGATTAGTGAGAGCTGAATATCTACCATAAAACGAAATATAAAATTTGTTCCATATACTTACTTCTCATATTAGTGTCTCAGGGAAGAAAATCAGAGTTACATTCCTCAAGCAGTGTCTTGTAGTTTAACTACTAGTGTGTCTGTCTCCATGCTCACCCATAGACAAGTTTAGAGAAAAAACCTATTATTTCTGAGCAACTGAGTGCTGGTAGCAATTGAGATAGGGGAAAAATGTTACAATTTTCATAAAAACAACAGCATAGTTTGAATCTTTTTGCCTTGAAGCTTACAAGATATGGTGTATTGGCATAATTTAGATATAGACCTTAGATATTTTCTCCATAAATATTCAAGTATTTTCCAGAGCACCTGTGGTCAATGCTACCTGAAGTTTGCCATTACATGGTTCCGGTTCAGAAAATTTATTTGGTTTAGCATTTGTGATACACATCTGCTATATGAATGGCAGCAAAATACTTTCATCACTGTCCTAAATTTCATATGCATGGGAAGTCTAGCATTTCAATACAGTCACTTCATTGTATTGGGTATCTGTTAACATCATGGTAAATAAAACACCTGGGCAATTTGGGAATATTTATGCTTAACAGTACATTCCCCCAATTTCCATCTCTCATTAGAAGCGGATTATCTTTTTTTCTGTATATATACGTCCATCCCCCTTCCTGCTATCTCATTTGGCATGATGGTGCTAGGCAACTGAGAACTATGCTGTTTATGGCTGAAATTTTAATTAAGCATTGTGCTTTTAAAATGTTGTGAATGTTCACACTAATCAACATGAATATTATTAGACTCAGCATTGTTCATCCAGAGCTGGGAATTTCAAAAGCAGGCCAAGAAAATTCTGTGTTTGTACGTACATGTTCTGTCTACAAAGGGCATTAACATGTCCCTTTTGTTGGAAAACTATAAAGCTACTTGGCTTTCATTTTGCTTGCAGGATAGAACAGCAACCATTCTTTTTGTGGTGTAGCCAGATTAGCTTTAATTGCCTCTTTATGCCTATTCATGAATTATGGTAATAATAAAGGCAGATCCAGCTCTTTAGCCATAGAGTATCTTAAACTGGTCTTAAATGTATTTATAATCCACTGAACTTCTTTTTCAGGCTAGCCCGGATCCTAGTTCGCCTGCCAGCACTTAGGCTGATGAGCTCTAGCATCACCGAGGAACTGTTTTTCACAGGTCTCATTGGAAATGTTCCCATTGACAGCATAATCCCCTACATTCTCAAAATGGAAACAGCAGAATATAATGGTCAAATAACCGGCACGTCTGTATAGAGGGAACAATGTAATTTGAGGGATTGAAGTAATTTTCACAAAAACCGTATCATTATGAAGTTAAAAGAGTAGTGTTTCGGTATGTGCAGATAACTCCAACTTGTTATCAGTTTCCTGACAGATTTCTCCTTGTCTTTTTCTGATGTTGACAAAATTTAAAGCAGCTATTAAAAGACCTGCTATAGGACCTTTCCTGCCACAAGGAATATTTTTGATGCCTTTCATTTAAAAGGCCATAGATTACTGAACATACTTTTCACATGCTTTGTATTTAGAAACTATCAGTGGTTAAAAAGAGTTTTATAATATGAGAGTAGTAATAAAATTACTTTAAAAGTAAAAAGAACAGTATGTATATATTTAAAAGTATCCTTGGAATGAATGTCTAGCAAATGCCAGGGTATAATACTAGCACTTTGTAATCACTTCTTGTCAGAGCAACAGCATCCTCAATCCTGCTTATGAGTATGGAAAATGAAAAAAATGCATATGTCCTTAGTCAAGATCCTAGTGATTTTTGTAAAAATGTAGAATGCTAAAGGAGACAATCAATTAATCTACAAAAAGTCACTTGCTGTTATGTTATGCATGAAATAATAATGTGGATACTTAAATCAGGTATCCACATTATATGAAACTATATCTGTTAAATTAGTGCAGTTGTAATACGTGGTACAGTGCAGTCACAGTGACTATTATGGCTATAGGAATTCCCCACACTAAAGAAAAGAAGTGTTTGTCACAATAATGATTAAATATGCAGGTTCCTTAAAGTGTTTATTCAGACAAACACAATCATGACAAATGTTATTCTAAGAAGCAGCCTTTTGACTTTGGGGAAATCAGTCATTAACTGGAAGAGCAGTAATTTTCAAACAGAGCCATGTGATGCTCTTTGAGTATGTTCTTTGTATGGTCCAAATTTACTCGTCTCTGTACTTTGCACACCCTCATAATGTAGCCATAGGGTGCAATTTAAGACCTGAAATGTGTATCAACCTCTGGTAGTCAGCAAGAGTTTATTACAAAACTCCCTTCCTTCCTCCCTCCCAGAGCACTCCCAGTTTTGCAGTGTTCTCAACTTTCCTGTCACTCAGTTTGAAACCAAAATATAGCTGGGATTTACTCTCACTCATGTACAATTGCAGTTGATGACTGATGCACCATGGAGGTATAAAATGAACTACTTTTTAATTGTCTCGAGTGATGAGCCATCAACATGCTTGCTAGTAGTACTGGCCATTAGCTGCTAGCACTGTTTTCATTTTAGTATAATTTATTATTATGGCTGTTCAGTATTTTACAATCAATGATTTTTTAAAAAGTCATAGCAATTAATACCTTCATCTGATCCTGGCGTATTAGATGCATGAATTATTTTAATTATTTGTGTATTAGAGGCATTCTTACTTCAGTAGATTTATGGGACAAAACTTATCTAATGGTAAGTTCAGCACTTTGGTTTTTCTTCTGTTATTGATATTTATTTAGAAACATCAACTAGGTTGGTGTTTGTGACTTTTCAGAGTCTGAATTGTAGCCAAAAGACCTTAATCAGCTTTAGAGGAGGCTTCTAAAGTAACAAAAAGAACTTGTATCCTTAATGCTTGTTAGGAGACTGACATTTGTAGCACTTACCGTGACACAAAAGACTATTTAATTTTAGCTTCTGGATGGATTCAAGTCTTCTACAGTTACTATTTTTAGCATATTCACAATCTTCTTTTCTCAGAAGGGTATTACAGAGTCCAGTGTCCATGCAGAGATTTGTCATACTGCAGCTGTATCTCTCTCAGCTTTTGCTATAGCAAATGAAATTGTCATATTGTTCATGCAATGGAAAGTCTGCTCCCCACATGTGAAGTCAGATGGATTTCAGCTTTTAGTACCAACCATTTGATTGCAGTGTAACTGCTGTGGGATTGTGTCAGCATTTCTGCTGCACAGTCCTTATATTAAGGGTATACAACCTAAAAATTAATGGTGATTAATCAGAAACAGTAGCTACCTTGGAAAGAGTAGTGGCTGCTTTTGTTAAAATTTAAATTGTTACTGCGTTATGTCATTTTTCTACAAGAAGAATGCATTGAACTATTTTGGTTTTTTGTTTTTTTTTTTAATTGCCAAAAGGATTACAGAACTTAATTTGCATTCAGAATTTAATAAAAATCATTTAAGCAGTTAAGAAAGCAATTTAATCGTAAATTAAATAGTCCTTAGCACAAAAACTGTCCATTGGAATATTTGGTTTTAAATCCCAATACGCACCAGCTAGCTTTTTCTTGACTTTTCTTTTTCATTTCAACTTCTAATTTTTCAAGTACAAGTGCCCCATTTTCTGTGTGAAAATTTGTTTGTAATTTTTATTACTTGTGATCATAACAATTCAGGAAAGGAAGACATTATAGTTTTTTGGGAACAAAGCAATCATATGAAGTAAAATGTAGAATGTGTGCCTTGCATTACATATGTAAATCAAAACAATAAATATCATGCAGCTCTGTTTACAAATAAACTACACTCCCCACAAATGCAAGGCTACATAATGATATCCTTGCTCAAACCCTGGTAGTTCCTTACTCTGCAAATAGTTATTAAATAGCTTATTAGTAATAAAATATTAATTTTTGCAAATGAGTAATAACCATGCAATGCATAGTTGTGCATGCATTTAATAGATGAAATTAAGCAGTTCCATCCTTAAGATTTGGATATTACCACCTAACAGCTATAAAGTCCCTCTCTGTGTAGCATCATTAGCGTGATTTGCTGTCTTGCAGAGGTGAGAACCAAGCTATTTAGTTCTGATGCCATTAACAAAAAGTATTCTTTCTAACTATACACTATTTTGATTCCAAGACTAACATTTTGGATTGTAGAAATGTGAACATATGTGCATGCCTGGGCTGTTTCCTCCCCAGGAAAAGGACTTTGTGCTTCCCCTCTCTGAACTTCACATGGTTCCTGTTGCCCCATTTCTCCCCTGTAACAATCCCTCTCAGTGGCAGCAGGACCCTGTGATGCACACAGTGCAGCTGCACAATCAGGCAAGCTTTGCACCACCGTCTCTGCAGAAAATAGTGCAACACTGACATAGTTCTTGGAATATCTGAGGTTTGTTCCATCCCTTCTGCAGTGACTGGAAGATGGTAACAGGCTAATCTTAGCTTTACTGGTAAATTAGTTTCAGGTTTTTCTCTCCTTTGAAAGTGCAAACTTTTCCTTATGAATATGGGACATAAGAGTTTTTTTAATATTGTAACAATTATTGAAGAACTATTTCTTGAGTGTTAAATACAGAAATATCTTGTTTTCATAAAGGCGAAATTTAAATGCCAAACTTGTTTTCACAAGAACTTGGAGTCAAACTACCACAGTCACAAAGTGAGTCTAGGAAAAGTTCATCTCACTGAAACTCTACTTAGTGCCAAAATTTATTCTCTTCAGAACTTTTGAGGTTCTATTTCTGCTGCTCTTGAAATAAAAATATTTTAACTTAGCAGAAATACAATAATAAATTATCTGATTAGATTTCTCTGAACCTGAGCAAATGTGTATTCTAGTCACAATTCATTCAGACAAATGTTAGAATTCTGTGCTGACTGAGACTGGGGCATGATAATGAGGCAATGTATGGAATGATAATGAGGCAGTAATGTCCACTGTGCTTCATTTGTTTTCCAACTCTTTTGCAAAAGAACTGGATTTGAATCTTGTAGATAAAAGGCATTTGGGACTAGCTTTGTCATAATTATTTTAATTGCATTTGTGACAAATGTAGGAAGGTATACTCTTTTCTTCCTTTTATTTACTTACATTGGACTGTAGAGTCAGAACTAATACCATATGCAAAAGTAATCTTTCTCTGCATATTTGCATTGCTTATAAATTGGCTGAAATGCTTTTGGTGTCTGTGGAGTTACTCTGGCATGAAACTGGTAGAAGAGGGAAAAAAAATATTTCGAAGGAGAGATCCTTCTAAGAAGTCATACAAGGCTTTCTTTTAGCTGCCTTACAATGTTAGATCATTAAGACGGCTTAGTTTTCAGAGCACACTGCAGCAAGAAACTATTGTTGCTCTCCACTGATTAGCTGGCGTTGTTTGCCAAGTCTCCTTTCAGTATCTTCTGAAGCCCATGGCCCCCCCAGACAGCCACGATGCCTCTGGTGAGGAGCTCTGGTTCCAGGTCTGTGTGCAGAATCCAGCACCTCTGAATCACCATTACAGTTCCCTTTGGTAAAGGGCACATTCTGAGGCTGCCATAGAGAAACCAAGTCAGGGCTGAAGCTCCCAGGTGAAATCAGTTTCCTGACTTTGTTTCTCCTTTGGCAGAGACTGTAAAACACTTGTGTGGTTTTTTTATTGTTTTACATAGTACACAGGACTCACAGATTCCTGAATTATTTCATTCAGGATACTGCAGGTGTAAGTAGATTTTCCTGCCCATTAAAGTTCAGACAGTAGTTAGGATTCTTTCCTGATTACCTGCTGTTTAGTTAGTAAAAGACAATTTAAAAAAAAAATTGCACTAAATCGCATGACTAACAAAGGGTTTCAGGAATACAGTTCAACCAGGAAGACAGAACTGGAAATGAATGGGCTGAGGGTACTGCTCAAGCAGTGACAAAGCAGCTTCCTGCACTAACAGCACCAGTCCGAGCCCTGTTTGAACCAGAAGTGAGCAGTAGAACTGGCAGGTCAGTCAGATACACAGGTGTACCAGCACATATCTACTGGATGATACCATCCTGGAGAGAACAAAAATGTTGATTTTCTATTTGAGTTCCCTCTCTTCCTCCTCTAATAGTGCAAAACCAGGGGATGTTGGGGTTTTTTTCACCTACTCTTGTCCATAAGAGCAAAAGCATAAATGCCAGAAAACACAGGCAAGATTCCCACCTGTTCCCAGGGTTTGCCATACAGCAACAGAAGAGCTTTTGCAGTAGTTGGCTTTGGTGATAAGCATGGGTCAGCTGACAACAGCACACAACAGTGTGCGGTCTTAACACTTCCAAATCCAGGAGGAATCAGCCAAATGAGGGCATGGTCACCCTAGAGAGGAAAGTGAGGGGCAGAGGAAGGACAAATTACCAGCATCTACCGGATCCTGAATTACAGGAAATTAGTTTAGAAACAGCTTTATATGAAAAATTACTAAGAGGGGATGACAAAGGAGAGAGAATGAAAGCATTTATTTTTTGTACTTTTTAATTCTAAACTTGCTGAGTCATTTTAACAGCAAATACTCCTGAATTAAGTTCAGGTTTATTGTTTGACGTCATTAGCCCTTCTTGTTAGATAATGCTACAACCTTACTTCAGCTGCAATCAGTGTTACCAACATATGGGAAATTATTTGTGAAAAAAAAAAAATTAGAACATTATTTATATTGGGGTTACAAGTTAAAATTCTTTGTAAAGTTCAGATGCTCTAAATTTAAGCATCTAAAGTTTAGCTGTTTTTATTGTGAAGTCATGCTAAGTTCATCATAGGTAATACTGTTGTAATGTTCCATTAATGCCCACAATCTGTTCAATCCTCTGAGTTACAAGAATGCTTTGAAAATGCATTTATTATTGTTAAATTCCTGCCTTTCTTTTTAAGGAGTTTGATAGAATTGTACCTATTTTGTGCCTCCCACCATTGTGCATTTCTGCATGTTCAGTTCTAGAACTCACTTGAGCAGCTGATGATTATGTACATAGCTGTATGTGTGTATGAATGTATATGTTTATATCTCTGTCTAAATATATTCTGTACAGTGTATAGGAAATGTGTAGTGTATGTATATATGTACAGATATGGAGCCATTCATCTATTCTATGTGCTAAAGCTTTTTATTCATTTGCTAATCCAGAGCTTCCTAATTTGGTGAATCCTCACAAATTACAGAGCTTTGCACCTTTTTTTCTAAAACAGTCTAAATTCACTATTTGCTGTTCAGAACTGACAAATATATTCCATGAATTTTCTGGCTTTTACATTATTTTCTTTACCTTTTCTCATTTGACCTATAGAGGTCTGTCAGTCAATAGTTACTTGAGCATATAATGCCTTTTAAAAATAATGAGTAAATAACTATAGTCATAGAAAATGCTTCCCTGCTCATTATGCTCATTATACTCATTCTCTTCCAGCTTCCTGAGATACTTTTTTAAAGTTGTATTTTTTGTGAAGCTTGGCAAGAGACTGATTTTTCGGTTTTAAGTCTTCATCTGTGGCTAACTGAAAGTAAACCAAGTTGCCATTTATCACTGAACTGCAGCACACAGAACAGGAGGTAATGGATGCTGTTTAATAAATCAATAATCATATTGTCATAGTGATCTCATGAAGCCAACCTGTGAGCTAAGAGACTGTGTGCTCTGGGCAGTGAAACAGCAGCTCTGGTACAATGGTAATTAAATAATAGGGACATTGCAGGTAGTTTATTTCTTAGCAAGCCTCAAGATATCCTCAGGATTTTCACAGTGCATTTCAATTGCATAGTCACTTTCCAAAGTTTTTATTTTCCAGCCTAAACTGAACACAGCTAGTTTCTTAATTTATTTGTCAGACTAATGTCCCTTTCTACTTTCTGTCCTCTCCTGGGTCTGCAATCTGTGGAGATCCTGCACTGCCTGTGACAGTCCCACTGTCCATGTGGGACCTGGGCACACAGTAGGGAAATGAGATGTGGCGTAAGACAATATCTTAGTCATAATGAAGACTCAAACATTTACATTGTCAAAGTATAAACAGGTCTTGTTCTTCTTCGCTTTTGATGAAGTTAAAAATGAAGCCTTCCATAAAGTAAGTCTGTTAACTGTGTGTTTTTAAAAAAGCATTTCACAGACTATGGCAGGGCAGTAGTTCAGCAAGTCCTGTTTCTGTCATTAAAAAGGTGAAATAGAATTTTCTGGGCATTTATTTCCACCTTTTATGCTTACTGTGGGAAAGACTTGTGTATGTTTAACCAGATAATAAGACACTAAGCAAAATAACATGAACTTTGTGCATGCTTAAAGTGAACCACAAGTCTGAGGGAAGTTTGGAAAGTTTGCTATGGAAAATGTTGACAAAGTTCTCTTTCTTGGTGTATTGGTTAGTGAGCATTTGTAAGCTTTTATTTCAAATATGGGAATAAACCTGTAGCATTTCAAAACCTTATTTCTGCGATTTTCAGCAGGAAAAATATGTAAATTAATGTCAGGAACTTCTGTGACAGATGTTCCTTCATTGGTGTCTGGATAATTGGTGGTGTTTGAATACTTGCTTTCCTCTTTAAAGGTGAATAGAAACCTGAAAGTCTATTAAAGTCGCTGTACTGCAGGAACAGTTTTAAAGTTTAGGAAGCCAATTGGGGCATTAATGCAAGATTGAATCAGTTTAAAAACTCAACTCTGAATTCAGGGGAAAAAAAAAAGGCAAAGTTCAGTGAAACCAAATGTGTTATATCCACATTTGAATTGTTCGTATTCTGAAGGACAAAATGTGCTCAAAGGTAGTGGCAATAAAGGCTCTGCAATAATACAACACAGGTCAATTTTACGGTATTTTCATGATTGTGGGTTAAAGTAGGACTGAATAAATTTAAAACAAAAAGCACAGTCTTTAAGAAGAAAACATTTTACTTACAGACTGTGTATGTTAAATTTTCCATATATTTAATCAAGATTGAATGTTGGAATATTTTTAATAATTAATCTGTACTCTGCAATACACTGCAAGCCAGTGTTCATAGTTTCCTGACTGAAAACTGCACACTGTTGTATCTGTATTGGCATACTGGGGAGTGCTGAGCTCCTAAAAAACACCAAATTTTTATAAAAGGAAACATCTGCTTTCAGTTCCTTCGGATATTTTCTGGAAGCCTCTATTCCCTATAATTTAGAAAACTATTGTTTATTATAAAAACTGCAAAAGTTTTTAATTTCTCATAGCTTCTTTTGTGAAATCAATATTGTTGTGTGTGATAGCATTTAAAAATAATAGCATGGGGTTTTTTAAAGTAAATTTTATATCCAAACAATGTCTTCAGTCACAAAGAGGAATTTGCATTGTTGTGTTTGTATATAGAGTATTGCAGTGCATGATTTAGCTTATGCATTTTGTTAAATGCTGTTGTGACATTATATTGTTGCGGTTAATACTAGTAGCTAAATGAGGTTTCTACCATTAAAGTGAATTACAAATATAACTGCATTCCTGAGTTTTATTTTGAAGTTCATTTAAGTGCCTCTTGAACAGGAGCTGTCTAAGCCAAATACTTATTTTACTATTTTAGGGAGAAATAGCATTTTGCTTTCACCACAGTGCGTATTTCACGAGAGATTTAAGGATCTGGTATAGAAAAGAAATCCCATGAACTTACTTGATTCCAAGGAGCTTCTCTAAGAGGAGAGAGGGCTTTTTTTCCTAAGGTTTTAATTCATCATAAACTAAGTTTTGAGTAGCCCCAAAGCTGTCGCTGCTGTGCGCCGGGCCCCTCGCGGCCCTCAACGTCCCTCACGGCCCTCAACGCCCCTCACGGCCCTCAACGCCCCTCACGGCCCTCAACGTCCCTCACTGCCCTCAGCGCCCCTCACGGCCCTCAGCGCCCCTCACGGCCCTCAGCGCCCCTCGCGGCCCTCAGCGCCCCTCACGTCCCTCACGGCCCTCACCGTCCCTCGCGCCCCTCGCGGCCCTCAGCGCCCCTCACGTCCCTCACGGCCCTCACCGTCCCTCGCGCCCCTCGCGCCCTCAACGCCCCTCGCGCCGCCAGGCCCGCGCATAGCGCGCGCCCTCCGCGGGCACTGCCGGGGACGGGATCGGCGGGGCGGTGGATCCTCCGCCAGGAGGCGCGCGGGAGCGGCACCTCCCCTTCCGGCCGCCGCCGCGATGCCGATGAAGGGCCGGTTCCCGGTGCGCCGGACCCTGCAGTACCTCAGCCAGGGCGACGTCGTGTTCAAGAGCTCGGTGAAGGTGATGACCGTGAACTACAACACGGCGGGAGAGCTGAGCGAAGGCGCAAGGTGAGCGCGGGACGCGGCGGGAGCGCGGGCTGCCCCTGCAAAGACACCAGGGCTTGCGCGGCCCTCCCGCCGCAGAGACATCGGACCAGCCCTTGTGTACTTGTCTCTTTCTTTCCAGAAAGTTCGTGTTTTTCAACATCCCCCAGATCCAGTACAAGAACCCCTGGGTGCAGATCATGCTGTTCAGAAACATGACTCCCTCGCCCTTCCTCCGGTTCTACCTGGGTAGGTGCCGCCAGCCGCGGGGGCCGCAGGAGCCGCAGAGTGGCGGCTGGGTCGCACCGGCGGCGTCGTTACCGCCGCGTTTGTGTCGTTCTCACTCGGCCCTGCCTCGGCTGCTGCGGGGAATGGAGCTGCTTGATTGAAACAGAGCTTTAGTCGTTGGCAGCTCCCCTAGACTCACCCTCATGGAGATTTTGCTTTTCACTTAAAACATTGCAATACACATTAACTGCAGAAGGGAAGTAGATCCTTCATTCCTGTGCGTTTAAAGCCTCTCTTAACGGCTTGCAGGAGGAGGTGGTACAATTTGATACACTATTATGAATTTTTCTTGACAGACAGTGGAGAACAAGTTTTGGTTGACGTGGAAGATAAAACCAACAAAGAGATAACAGAGCACGTTAAAAAAATCCTGGGGAAAAGCAAGTAAGTAGCATGCAGTAAGCTAATATATAATCTAGCATACATATTACAAACTTTTGTGGAATGCAGAAGGAAATACCACTTTTCCTGGATAAAACTGACATGAGCGAGGTAACGTCCACAAGGTAGGAACTGTAATCCGTCTTTCTTGATAATCTGGGTCCAGGGAAGGGAGAGGAAGTGTTGCCAGTCATACTTCTGATAGTAAAAAACAGATCTCTTTTCTAGAGAAATGCTTGAAAAAGAAGAAAGAGAAAGGAAAAAACTATCACATCCAGCAACCTTCGGGCCCAAGAAGTATCATCTGCGAGAATGCATGTGTGAGATTGAAGGCCAAGTTCCCTGTCCTGCTTTTGTACCATTGCCCAATGAGATGAGGGGAAAATACAAAGCTGCTATGAAAAATGAGGCATGAGCCTGACATTTCAAGATCTCAAGTTATGCAGCTGTTTTTTCTTAGGGCTGGACAATGAAGGTGCCTCAGTGAGAGGCAAGAGCCAGCAGTTCCTGGGAAAAGGAACAAGCAAGTTCATTCAATACAAACAACTCTGCCTCATAAGCCTTCTTAAGTATACAACTAGAATAATTAAGTGAAAAATAAATAAAAGTTAAAACTGGCACAAAAAAAGCTGTGGTTCCACAAAGTATTGCAAGCCAACATTGGAAAACAAAATTAATATAGTCTTATTTCTTATTCATGCCTGCAGGTAGCCAATTATGGCTATACCAAGATCACGTTTTCTCTGGGATAGAAAGGCTATCTTAGAAGTAACGCAGAATTCCATAGTTCATAGAAAGTAGTGCAAAAGTCATATTGTACCAGCTGAAGACAGCGAAATGATAATATTAACTCCAGTCTCAATTGAATTTTCCTAATTTATGTAGTTAATAATCAGAAACAGTTCAGAGTCTCATTTCCAGCAAGATACAACTTTTGCAGTTGATACTGCAGCTCTGGGAAGCACAAATCAGAAGCATCAGCTGGAAAGGAGAATGGGCAAATTGGTATATGAAAGGTAAGTTTACAATTCTCAAAACACCCCTTCTAAATCATCACAGTTTCTGCCTCACCAAACAATTACACCATCCCTGTAATATGTATAAACGTGATGGAGTGTACTCTACTGTACATACCTTTACGACAGGCTTACATGTACAAGTCACTGTAGAACTGTATTGCAGCATTTCTGAATTCACAGTTGAATATAAAATTTCACACAGATGCAAGCATCCTGTACAAATTGTCAAGGACAAACATAACACAAAATAAACATGTTGTTTTATTTCATCTCTTTTTACAAAGTTTTCATACAGAGTAGTGCATGCAGTTGTAACAAAAGTCAATGCTAATTAGTTATTGAGCTTTATGCTTAAGACATCTTCATTCCCTTATACCTTGCAAGCCTCACAGCAGTCCCTATACCAGCAAAGGTCTTCACATCAGAGACGATTTTAGTATTAGCTGTCTAGTCTATCACAGTTAACATTGACAAAGATCATGAGGTATCCTAGTCTGTTACCTGCTTGTAAAAATAATGTATTATGTATACAATAAGAATACTATAGTTATTAGTGTATTAGCCAGAAAATATAAACAAGGCAGGATAGTTGCAACAAGGAAAAAAACACTTTTTAATGTGAAAGCCAAAGCCACTGAAACATTTTCATGTTGATACCTAAAAAAGCATTAGGTTAGAGTGCAGGAAGCAATCCTCCTGAACAGCATCCAAGTCTGTCCTAAATAACTGCCTTATACTCTCTGAAATAATTCCAGGGATTCTATTTAGCTGTCAACAGTTTTTGCTGCCTTCATTAATCTGGTGCCAGGCACCTATGTTCTGTTAAGACCTTTCAGAATCCTGTGTTCTTTCTTCTTGGTACAAAGTAACACTTGGGGGTCTCAATCAGTTCCAATAAAACATCACTATATGCACTTCAGGGTCTTAAGCCAACCTCTTTTGCACACCTTTCAAACCCTGATTCAGGCTACACCAGACAGACCATCAGGTAATCCTTGCGTGGCTGGTCTGAGTTACTTCAACCCCTTGCTAGTGGTATTGAGGATATAGGTGGTTTGGTCTTTTTGAACAACAGTTCCACAAGTCCCTAATTCCACTTACAGCTAGGAACCAAAGTTCCTGCTCTTTAGGTAACAGAGTTACTTGTCTCTAAAATCTTAAGCAGTGTTGGGGTTACAGTATCAGAGACAGTATGCCAATATCAGAGACAATTAAAAGGTATGTCCCATTCACAGAACCTCACACTTCTGACTAAGCCCACTATTAGTGCTATACAGTGTGATCTGCCTGATTTTCCTCTATTTCAGTTTTAAATAAACCCTTTAAGATTAATTCACCACCACCACTCCTGCAAACAGTGATTCCTGCTGATGTTTCTGTGCCTCTCAAAGATAAACATCAAAGTGGTTAGATACCATCTTTCTCAAAAACCTGGCATTTGCCCAGCTGTAGGCCCTCCTGCATCACAGGTACTAGCAGTCACCTGGTCATCCCCCAGACCACAGGATCACAAGAGGTCTTCAATCTGAAGTGCCTTATTTAAAACAAGTATGCCTGATTTTCATAAGAGCTGAGGGGAATCTAACATGAGAGAGACTTGTCATTTGGCACTATTGCAGCCAGACTTCGTCCTCCAGCTTTCACAAAATTCCAGTGGCATCTCAGCTTTCCATTATAAACAAAATTTTTTGTTGCTTGAGTGATACAAAATATTCCAGTCTCACAAATACAACAAACATGATCATTCTGTCACCCGGAGGATTTAACGGAATGTGTAGATTCCATAATGCAATTACAATTGGAGGTTCACCCTTTATATTACAATAGAAGTGGTGCTGGCCTGATGTTCCTTTCCCTGGAAATGAGCAAATGCTTGCTCCCTCATGAGCAGGTCTGAAGTCACCATGATGCTATGACACCATTGTTGGCGCTCAGAGCAAATGGGAAACCAGAAGTGATGAAAAGAAACATCCAAATTTTACTTGGGAATCTTTATACAGACTCTAAAAAGTTACTAAGATCAGTTAGAAAGTTTTTCTCAGTCTTAAGATCCCTTTTTATTAGCATTGCATAAACTTGATCTGCAAGCCTGTACATTCAGCATCCCGGAGAATCACAGCAGCTCTTTAACAGCACATTGCCAGAACAGTGTTAGCAGTTCAACTACCCTGGGTCAGGAGAGGATGAAAAAGTTTTAGAAAAGTTTTCATCTCTCTTTAGTCAAAACTTGAAAGGCCACACTTGAAAGGCCAACACTGCAGCAGAAAGCAGGAAAGAGGGCAAACCAACATTCCAACCATTTCCTCATCATAGTTCCCTATTAGCACTTACTTAACCCCTGGACCAAAATAAGCATTCAGTAAGACTAGCTAGCATTAAAAAGTGCTGTAAAAAAGTTATTTTAAAATTTCTTACTCTAAGTTTTTGAGACCAGCAGCATTCCTCAGTAATTCTTTCTTCAAGACTGTGTAGTAGTGGCAATGTCTAAATGAAAGTGCTTTAAAGTCAGGATTCTCCCAGTTCCCTCTTGTGATGTGTACTCCTGTCTGTAAGTATCTGCTTTACATTCCCATATTTAACAGCAGACTGAGTTATTACACAGCCCTATTGCTGCTTCAGCAGTTAGATTTCTCCTTCTGCTTTGCTAATGTGTGTTTCAGTTCCTTTAAGTTCTCTGTCAATACCTCCACCTCATCCAGTCGTCCACTATGTTTGGCATCAAATATATAAGCTTTAATATTATCTATCTGTTGGAGAAGCAGCTCTTCCTCTATAGCCTCCTCTCCAGAGATCTCACTGCCATCCTCCACTTCAAAGGGATTGCTAGAGGACCCCTCTTCAAATGGATTCCCTGAATTCCAACTGCCTCCAGGCTTTTCAAATGGATTTTCATCCTCTTCAAAGGGGTTTGAAGTACTGCCAGGTGCTCCATTACTTTGTTCATCCTCCTCCTCACTTTCAAATGGATTATATTCTTTTTTATCACTTTGCTGAGCTGTGTTAGAGAAGGAAACCACTGGAGAGGTGTCTTCGGCAAATGGATTAGCAGGATCTTCTACTTGAGGGGTATCTGCTTCATCCTCAAAGGGGTTTAGACAAGCTGGCTGATCGATGTCTTTGTCACACTGTGGGACATTCTGGGGTTTGAGTGTGAAGGTTGAGTGCTCTTTTGCTGGCAGCTGCTCAACAGCAGGAGTGTCCCCTTTGATCCAAGTAACATCCAAATGCTGTTTGACTTCTCTGAAGTCTAAGGAGCGTGTCCTTGAATGCTGAGACATGAATTTATGGTGCTCTCTTTCCCACTCTTTTTCACGAAGGACCTGAAGTTCCTCCCTCTGTATCTCCTCCTCTTCTGCCTGTTTTTTAGAAAGCTCAATAGCTTTCAGAGTTTGTTGTTGATCATATTCATCCTGAAGCTGCATCAGGTTCTCTTGCAATGTATGGACCTCATCTATCCTATTAGCTGCCTTTGCTTGCTTAATAAAGGATGTGATATTGTCAATCTGCTGAAGAAGTGGGTCTGCTCTCTCGCTCTCTCTTGAAATGCTAGATGTGGGTAACCAGCCTTCAGATTTCTTGACTGTTCCTTTTTTTATGTGAGTTTCATCACCATTAACTGCAGATGCAGATATGGAGATAAGCTCCTTCTGCTTTTCCTCTTGTTTTCCCTGTGTTTCAAGAGCGACCTAAGCCAAAAAACATGTAGTAAGAAAACACCACAAGCTTGAAAAAATTAATTCTAAGTATCCATAGGTACAAGTTAGCTAATCTTAAGACATTGTTGGCTGATGCTTAAAGGGATCAGCTGCCATTTTGGTTCGTTTGCAGAAGATTCTTACTTTCATATCATTCCTTACATGCTTCCCTTGAGTTTGTGATGATACTGATGAAAACCCCATGACATCTGCCTCTACAAACTTAAGGGAAAGTAGGAGCAACAATTCTCTCCATAGAAAAAAAAAATGCCTAATGAAGCTGTGCAAAGAGTGGTCTACATTGATCTGGACATTAATTGTATCACACAGAACATCAGTGTTTAAGGTCACTGATATACTGGCTTTTGGAGTGGGATTATTCTTATTTCTCAACTTATACCTCAACATGAAGTTTATCTTAGTTTATAATTAAAGATATCCTCCCTCCTGAAGGAAAAAAAGCCTCTCTCCCTGCAGAGGCATCCTTTTTCTAGTATGTCCTTTCCCACCAACAAAAGAAGTTTCCAAATTCTACTTATGTGAGTGAATTCCTGAACACAATTTTGAAGTCAGTGCAAACTAACACACTCACTTCAGGGCTTGCTCTGCACGCACTGCAGCAGAAACAGCCTGTGCAGCAGCAACTCCCTGCTGATTTCTAGAAGTGTCCAGCTTTGTGCCCACCTACTTCTGTTCTGGACAGAACAAAGCAGCAGCTAGGCAAATCCTTGGAAAAGGGAATGGGACGATATGGATGAAAAAATAACAAACTGAAATCCAATGTTGAAGGCAACTACTCATATAAGCTCCCAGGCTTGTTTTTATGAGAAAGCCTGATACAAGATGTAACAGATCCCAACCTGTCTTACCATATGCAGTCTTCTCTTCTTCAGTTCTTCATACTGATCCTTAGTTGGCAGGGACATTAGGCCAAGCAGTTTTTCCTGGCAAAAATTAAATATTTACTATATTGCTTGCAGGTATTCAGCCCATTTTTCAAGTCCTTGAGAAGAGAGATACTACCAGCAGAAACTCCACAAGCACATCAAAGATGCTTCTACACTGCAGTCCCTGCTGCAGGTGTCCACACACCTCTGCTGCCACAGCTGCACTGCTGGGTGGGCTCACACCTCAGCAAGAGGAAGAGCCATGGCTCACACACTCTTGGGTTCCCCAGGCCCAATGCTGCTCTGAGTGAAAGGTAAGTGTTCCAGACAGCTTATTTAAGGCTATCATAAGTCATTAGGGGAACTACAGAAAATGCAGAAAATGTATAGAACTAAGGCCCTTGTCAAAACAGATTCAAAGCACAGGGATGCCTGGCAAAGAAGAGAACACTATCTAAAATGTAAATAGAGCATATGCTCTATTTACCTGAACAAAAAGTGTAGCTGAATATCTTATCATTCGCTGAAGTTGTAGTATTTTAGGATGAGGTTGAGGATCTTCGTGCAAGCCCAGACTCAAAATCTTCTTACTGAATCAAAGAAAACATACAGCCTCATCAGTTCAAAAACAAAATCAGGAAAAATTCCACAAAAGCGGAAAGATAATATTGGATCAAAAACTTCTGATGTTCTTTTATATAAACAGTTTTGAATATTACAATTTGTAACACTTTCCATGCCCAGCCTTAGAAAAACAAAGAAACCCCAAACAAACAATTCCTTTCCCCTAAATGATGCTGTTACTTGTTTCCTCTATACTTACATATTCCTACTGCAAAGGAATGCATGAATTTTAAGGCTGGAGAAGAAAGTAGAAATTGATAGCACACAGGAACAGCATCTACCTTTTCAAATGCTCTTTACAACTGAGCAGACAAATTGATCATCCATATAATCAGTTAAGTCATAACAGAGATACATACATGATGGGGGGAAAAAGGAGAGAGACAATCTTTTACCTTAATGCATCTATAAATTCATACATTTTTTGAATCTCCACTCTTAAGTCATTAGCATGATCAAGGTTGTAGGCTGACTCCCCAGCACTAAAGAATAAACAGAACTTTACTGTAAGTCATGCATTCAGTTAACAACATGTACAACACTACTAAGTATCCCAAGATGCCTAAGATTCTACAGTGGTAACTGCTAAACACTAAAGGGCTGAATGATTTTATTTCAAACTCATGTTTAAAAAACCTTTTTTTGTAACAAATTGAAAAAATTATACTAATTTTGTGAACATGAACACTTCATAGAAGATAACTGTATTTGTGATTAAATACAATTATTTAATCATATATATATATAATTATTATTACTTATATTACTTATATATTATTACTTACTATTCTAGGAGAAACTGTATTCTAACACAAAAATGCCACTCTACAAGTAATATCTAAAATATACACATGCTTAGCAAATGTATCTATTTTGTGGGGATTTCTTTTGAGACAACTTGGTGGGAAAAAATCTCTGAGTAACTATTAAATCATAATACTTACCTCCACTAGCATTTGTCAGAAAGGAAAATACTGTGCTGGACAGGGTGTAGTATTTAAAATGCTAGTAAATGACTGTCCAAAAGGGGACACAATCATTACAGGCACTTTACTAGAGTCTCCACTTTATTGATAAAACAAATTAGGACTTAGTGGGGAAAACTCTTCATAAGTTTTTAGCTTCCCTGTCCTTTTGTATCACAAATATAAATTATAAGAATCACTTTCTAAAAAGCAACTTCACTATCCATAGGATTCCGATTTCCAGGATACACTACTAGTCATAACAACCCATAACAAGCCTGTTGTTTTCTGACATTTACTTCCATTATCCAGGACAACTGTATTTTTACTTTTCTCTAGCTGCCAAGCCACATCACCCAATCTTTCATGACTTCATGACAAAAAGCAGTAACACCTTAGCAGATTTTTCACCTTCTGTACTTCTTTCTATTGCAAGGAGTGTTTTTACAAAGCACTTTCATTACTAATTTTTCTACTACCATTAGATCTAAAGGACAGGTATAGCAATATTTATTAACTTTAACTTTTCAAAAGGAAATGCTTCCTAGTCAAAGACCAGTGCATGTATTTCTCTCACTATACAAGCCAAAAGTCTAACCTGGCAACCTTTTTCAGATAGAGTTGGAGAGTCTTAAGTTACCCCTGTGAGAGAATACTAGTGCAAGAAATGATGCACAAAACTGAAATACGAGACTGTTGCTTATCCACTGCAGCACAGGGTACCCAGCTACACTCAGAACAACTGCCAGGTGAGGGTGCTTTACACAGAACAGAATAGTTCTAATGATCTGCTGCTGCTGCTGGCACTCCTTGGAAGCCAGAGCATCCCAGCTGAGGACAGCAACAGCTTACTGCGGCTGTTTTGAAGAGGCTCATTTACACAAGAATTGTAGCCTTGTACTTCCTTTTGTTGCAAAGATGATGTGTCGAAGTATGACAGTAGTGCCTCACCGGGAAGTGGCTTTAAAAAATTAACAAATCAAACAACCTCTCTGTATGTTACCATTAATAATTAATTCAGTATTACTTTGTTTGAAGAGCATCCAGAAGACAACAGATAATGAAGCACTGATTTTTCTTTAAATTTACACACACTTGCAGTCTTAATACACCACTTCCTTACTACTTATCACACTTAGAGCAAAAATACATGTATTCATAACATAGTCAGCAATGGGACTTACTTTAGTGATTCTGCCATCCTTATGTATTCTGGTGCCTTCTGGTCAACCTTCTCCATGCAGAGTCGGAGTTTCTTGTTATAATATTAAAACAAAATGTATAAAAAAGGAATTGACATTAAAACACTAATGCAAGAACATGTTGACATGAATCTTTTCATGCTGCTTGTGCAGATTTGAAGTTAACCATGATAAAAGGCACTTTAACTATCCAGGATGACAAGACTCTCCAGTTATTCCCAGAACATGTGTGACGTTGTCAGAAACAGAGAAAGACTGGCTGTACGCCTGTAATGTGGACTTCAAATCTTGAAGCTGTTTGAATGGCTGACTTGGACAACTTCTAGCCTTAGATCTCTTCACCAACAAGAGCACCAACAAAAACTCCCATTAATACTAACCAGGGGGGTTTGTAGACTCTACTGAAAAGGTATCTGGTGATCATCAGTATGTGCTGCAAAGCATTTGAACATAATGTTGATATAGATGGTTCAAAAAATGCATTTGCCACGAGTGTAAGGACTGATGGCAACAGTGGTGACATTGAGTGCTGTGGTTCCAGTGCAGCCCACCAATCAAATGCACAGCATATCACTCACTGGTTTAAACAAGTTCACAATTTTAAGAGAGAGGCATGTCTGAACTACTAGTTCCAGATGATGAGAATGAAGATGTATTTTAAAACTATGTATGAAGTTAATGTGGGCTATAAATATTATATTGCAACTGATTCCAACATTTCAGATACGTCTTTGCAACATGGCATAAACACCCAACAGTCTCTGCTAACACAAGTCAGTATCAAGTAATGGAGTTCAGACATAAGTAACAAGCTGAAAGTCAAGTAGTGACCACTGCAGACATACACTGTAGCACAGAGCTTGACTTACCTCATAGAGTTTTACAATCTCTGGTGTATATTCTTTCTCATCAATCTGTTGCTCTTTTTTTAACAGGGTATCTTTGCAGTGCTGACAACAACGGATTCGTTCATCATCCTTCTCATCCAGAACAGAGCTCATACTGCTTATGCTGCTAATGCTGCCACGGCGGGAGCCGTGGACACCGCTTGGTGAGGAGTTCGGGCTTGTATGAGAACCCAAGGCCTCTTTGCTGGCATTAGTGAGTTTGCCTAAAGGTTATACACAGGCAATTTTACAGTAACTGGAGAATCCAACAGATTTTACCAACACAAACAAACTGCCCTTTAACAGGAACTTTACAATTCAGGTAGTACTAGAAAACCAAGTTGAAAAAGTCTGCTGAAAGACATGCAAGGATTGCATAACAACTATGACTGCAAGTCAGAATTTGGGTCTTCACCGCAAATCTTGCTGTATTTAAAACTAGGTAGAGAGCACACTGCTGAGCATCACCTACATTGCTTATGCCTAGAAGCATTCTCATGTTTGAGCCTGAACAGTCACAAACCAATGTGTAGAACAGGTATGATAATGGCATCCAGGCATTGCGCCTGCACACTCTAAAAGGCACAGTTAATGTCATTTATCTCCACAGAACATACAGTCACCTCTCCTGTGCACCACATGAGAAAAATAAAAGTTTAAAAGTGGTTCTTAAAGACCTAAACATGAATTTCCCCAAGTTGTTGTCCCAAGGTCTAGCATTTGGACACCACAGACAAAACTGGAAATATCCACAATATTTTTATATGTCAAGAACCTTGGCAGTTCCTAAAGTTAATAGCTCCATAGTTATAGTACTCAGTAGAATAAGTAATACCTATTTTTACCAGGAGTTACTACTTTTTTACTACTTACTATTTATTTATTTACTATGACAACTATTACTTCTAGTAAATTTTTCAGTGTTATGCAACACTTCCAAATCTGAAGAAGGAACAGAGAAAAAGAATGGAGAAATAATTTCTTGTATTCTGTTTCACAGACAAGTGTCTGCATGAAACTGAATCAAAGTTTTCTGCAGAGACAGACTATTACCAGCATAATTTTTTGTAATGTCAAAAGCCAGGACGCACCCAAAGTGAGCTAAGAACATGAAGAATTAACTCAACAGTACTTACTTGCCAAAGGAAGACTGACAAATTCCATGCACTTCTTGCACATAATAGACCCACAAAGGCGGCAGTGGTGACGTCGGTTTCGGATACTGAACTTAGTGCCACAGTCTGGGCAAAATGGAACATCCTGATCACTGACCCAAGGCACAACAGACTTCTCAATAGCTGTGAGCAGGAATACATACCACATAAGTGTTCAATTGATTCCTCAGCTGGTTAAACTATAGGGGCAAATAGTCTCAGGTAAGCTCACACTAACCTCTTATTTTAGCTGACTCAGTATTTGCTCTGTCAAATGATGTAAGCTGGTTAAAGATAAACAATATATTCAAGAAAATTATACTTTTGTAAGGAAAAAACCCAGCACAACTCAGCCCAACAAGAAAAAGAAACCCAGTGTTTTTAAGAGAGAGGAGTTTCAGCTGGTTTTATGCAACTTTCATTTTTTTTCCTAATTCCGTGTTCATACCAGTGCTAAACAATGACTTGTCAAATCTGTACAAATTAGCACATTTTGGACATAATCCTTACTGCAGCCAACATTACTGCATCTGAACCAAAATGCAGGTGTACCACTGGCAGATTTTGAAGAATGAGGAGCTGGAAGAATCATAACAAAAATATTGGGGAGCAATTTAGTAAAGTAAAACCCTGAGAAAATGAAACAGGAGAACAGATGGCTCTTGAAGCATGTGGAAGTAGCATCTTCAGCTTGAAAATGGTGCATAGATCCAGAAATTATACCCACGGCACAAAATCAAATCGCGTGCAGTTCTCAAGGTAATGTGTAAAAAATGTCATAGTTTAGTATCTTTTATAAAGTGTATTCCTAGATAAATGGGCACACTTCATACTGAAATTTTTTTTTTTTTTTTTTAGTCTAGGAAACATATAGAAGGTTGGAATATTAAGAAGCACCAAATTTACCTTTTCCAACCTGATTATTAACTTATTGACTTCAACGACATAGTGATCAATCCTGGCTGCTCGGTGTTTCTTGAATTCAGAAAGATGGCTTCTCATAGCACCTGCAGGGATAACAGAAAGTTGTCCTGGTCACCCAAGTACTCTGTATGGATTTAAATGCCACTTGAAAGACAGATGTCTCTTCACCATTTACTTCTCATGTTCAAATTCGACTTTAAAGATACGTTGGAATCCTACATTTTCACAGTATTGCTGTAAATAAAACATGCTGGTTAAAGACTAATATTCAGGCTGGCAATTAAACAGTGTTTTACTTCTACTACAGAAAACAAGCAGTACTATGTTAAAGAGAAAATCTGCAACAATTTTTTTTCTCCATCTTCATTTGTCAGTTACATTTGGAAAGCTCTTACTTACTAGTAGTGTCCTCAAAACCAACTCCCTTTAGCTTCCTGGCTACATATTGAGCAAAGGGAAGAGGCATGCCCAAGGATTGCTGGAGGTCTATGCAGCAGTAATTTTGTTTCAAGATTTCTGATCATCTTTACCCTTTAGGGGCCTGAATCAAATCCTTCATGACAGTTTAGATTTGCAGAAAACTAATCACTGAGTATTGAAAAGAACTATACAGCATCTCTAAGACATGTACAATTCATAGTCGATAATGTTGGTTTAAGATTACTTCTTTTCCAAGTAAGGTGGGCGAGGTATTAAAAATCAAAGTTATAGACAAAAACTAAAGACTTCAAAACCAACCAAATCTTTCTTCCAGCTGGCAGAACTCAAAATCAGATGTTGCTTTTTGATGCAACATATGTAAATGTAAAAATCTCACTTCTTCATGCTAATGAAGTAACCAAAAATCTCCAAAGATGCATTCACAGTAGTGGAAGAGTCCCTCTGGGTAACTGATTTAAGCCATTGCTTTGGAGACACAATCCCTTTCACTGATCCATCAAATCACATGCCAGATCCCTATGGTTCATCTTCTCAATGATCATCAGAGAGCAGTCTCACTTCTCTAATGTTCATAAACCTTCTCCCTAAATTTATTCTTAGCTAATATTTACACTATGATTGCTGCTCAAATAGTTACAAAGTCAAAAGTAAAGAAATATACAGAACTCAGACCCTGCAGACCCAAAGGACTTAGTCCCTAGTCTGTCAGCACCATAGTGCAAACTGTCCCAGGATCCACAAAAGATTCCTTCTCCAAAAATAACCATAGTATTTCAGTCATAGTACAGGCAATTGCCAATAGCAGTATTTATAATTACAGGCTCAGACAGCTTATGCTTGAAACTCTATAGATGTAGATTTATATTCAGAGCAGTGGAGTTTGTTTATTTTTTTCTTTCAATTTGTTTTTTTTTAAAGTAAGCCCCATTTTAATAAGAGGTGATCGCCACCTCAAATCCAAGGAAAAAGCTGACAGTTTAAATTGGTAGCTAATGTTTTTGTCAAACATGCAAACTAACAACTACTTTAAGTGTAGCCCAAAAGCTAGAGATTTTATATACTTATAACCTTTAATGAGTGGGTTATCTGTTTTGTAAAGTGACAAGATGAAGCTAGTTGCACAGAGGTAAACACAGATTAAGCAGATCTCAGCAGGACAGCAACAATAATGTGACTACCTGAAGGGTAGTTTGGGTACCGATTCTATACATGTCTTTTCTTCTCCCCATTAACTGTGTTTTCCCCATGCTCCACCCAAGGGGTCGGCTGCTCAAAGAAAGTGTGCAAACCATAACCCCCTGCTAGCGAACACAGTGCAGCACAAACACAATTCCAAGCCACTTCGGCAATACTGTTGCACTTTCCCAATTCAGATCAAAACTTATTCCCACTGTGTATTGCTTTCTAGCTCTCCTACCTACTTCCTGGGGCTCCCACATGTATGGATCTACTCCACCATAACTGAATGACTCATATCGCTCCTGAGATCCAGAATCAGTTCTGTCATCATCTTGTTTCAGCAATTTCTTCTTTGCTCTTTTGGCCTTCTGGACTAGATCTGAAAAAAATAAACCCAAGTTATCTGACATATCAGGTAGTCACCAAATATTTGTCATGTGAAGCCAGTATATTCATCTTCTTTTAGCAGAAACCTTTCTTCTGGATAAATTTATCCTCAAAACATTCTTATAACAAAAATGCAGTTCAGAGCAACACAGATGACACAAAATGCTCTCTGCTGTCTGTCATAAAGCAGCATGAGGTCCTAAGGACAAGACAGTAGATTAAAACATTCCATTGTCAGACTTCACTGTAAAACAGCAACATGTCTTAAACTATGGGACCTATCTCACTGCACAAGGCATCATATAGTTTTATCTTAATTCTCATAATTCCCTATTATTTTCTTCAGATTCAAGGACATCCAACACATTCCTTGTTTTATTGCACAAGCTACCAACTTCAGTGTGCTTGTACACATAAAGACTTTTTCAAGTACTAAACGGCCCAGTGTTAGGGTTTCACCACGAAAATTGGTTAGTACTTCAAAAGTCTATCTCAAGAGAAAAAAAAATCAAGACTGTGAGGCCAGTACTTCTAGCATATTAAAACCAGAGTTTGCAGGAAACATAGAGAATTATCACCAGATTTTAAACATTTTAAACATTCTTCTCTCAATATAAAATGACACTGTATACATAAGGGGGTAAAAAAAGGAAAATATCTTAGTGAAACAAAAATCAAAGAGATTTTCCAAATACTAATGAAGGGTGGAAATCCATAACAGATATGGAACACTTCCAGCATTTCCTGCTAGTTCCACCACCCACATGCTTTTCCATGTTTTTCCAATAACAACCTTTCCTAACTTCACACTTTAACTGCAACCACAGTTTTATCTACTGTCAAAACAAGAGATTAATGAACTGGAACCTGGTAAGTAGCAGAGATTCCCCATATTCTCCACAGTCTTCAAGTAATTATTGGGTATTCACTGGGTTAGTATAATTTTGAGTTTTCAAATAAAAACAAACAAAAAAGCCTAAAAGCTCAACAGTAAAAATCGTGAATAAAATCAGACCTTTGTAGAGCAATGTTCTTTAGCCCCTACTTTAGAATCAATTTATGGGAAGTATCGGGAGAAGGTTAGTACTATGCTTGGCCCAAGGAGATTTACGGAAGAATGGAACTGCATACCTCGCCTGTAAGTCCCTTCAATTAATATTTTATTATTGTCAGACATTTGGGAGCACACTAAGTACGAGCAGGGATTTCCCACGGCCAAGCCGAACGCATTTACCGCGGCCGCCCTTACTTCGGAGTTGCGCCCTGACGTCCCGGTCTTCGCCCGGGTGCTGCTCCTCGTAGTGCGCCTGGAGCTGCCGGAACGCCTGGAGATCCTTCAGGCACAGCGGGCACAGGAAGCCCTCGCGCACTTCGGTCGGGTCGCCGAAGGCCGCCGGGCAGCCCGACGCCATCGCGGCCGCGCGTGCTGCCCTCACCGGCTGCCGGGATGCGGGGGCCGCATCGTCCTCAGGCACTGCCTGAAACGAACCAGGCCAGGGCCGTGTGACCGGCTGCGCAGGATGGGGGCGGGAAGGGCCCGGGCTGGGCGCGAGCCCCTCCAGGAGCTTCCCGCCGGGACCTCCGCCCGGTTTCTCCAGGGACTTCCCGCCGGGACCCCCGCCCGGTCCCTCCGCGGCCCGGCCCCGCCCCGCCCCGCCCCACCCCGCCCGGGCCAGGAGAGAGGCTGCGCAGGGAGATGAGCGGGGCTTGAGGCGCTCCGTCCGCCTGGGGAGAGGCCGCTGAAGGCTGCCCCGGCTGCCTCAGGGTCCGTGGCCCAGCGGCAGCCCAGGGACGGCCCGGGAAAAGCCTGGGGCAGGGCTCGCCTCACCTCAGCGCCCGGGCGGCCGGTGACTATCTCCAAAGTAGGGCGGCCGCGGCCCGGCCCGGCTGCCGGGAGCGGCAGAGCGCGGCGGAGGGCGGGGCGAGCGATGGGCCATCGATGAGAGGAAAGGGCGGGGAGAAGGAGGGATCCTCCGACGCCGCGGGAAGGCTGCCGAGCGCGGCGCTGCCGCTGGCGGTTGGGAGGGGGGCAGCGGGAGCTGGGCAGCGGCAGCGCGGTCTCTGAGGCCAGCGCTGCTCGCCGTGTTCAGCCGCCTCGCAGTAGGCCCCGGTAACGGGCCCGCAGAGCTGCGGTGACAGAGTCCCCTCCAGGACGGAACGGCGCTGTCACGTAGGGGACATGCGTCCCGCCCCGGTGCCCTGGGACTGTTCCCATAGCACTGGTGGGTCTGTGCTGTGTGTCCTAACCGCTGGGCACGCTCAAGAGGACCACCGTTGCCAATATCAACACGCTCAACGTTCCCTTTCCCAGCCTACCGAATGTTCCTAAAGGAAGTGTCCCAAAACTGCAAACCAGAGCATCCGGTGACGTACTTAGCCACAAAGGAAGCCCAGGAATCCTACTACTTGCCTCCTGACAAAGAGCTATGTAAATCAACGGTAGGGCGTTTTTCGTGTCCCCTTTCTGATGCCAGCTTTTGTTTAGTCTGAGCTGGCAGCAGTCCCTTCTCTCACACACTCCCAATCAAATAGAAACAATAGGAGTGTGTAACCACACTTCGGCTTCGTGTGTTAGGATTACAAGGTCTTGGAGGCTGAGATTTTCTTACGTGGTGATGCTACTTACGCTTGAGTCCTGCCCATTAAAGGTGGGCTTTGACTCATCATGCCCTGCACTTCTACCTTCCATATTAAGTCTTTTAAAACCTTTTCAGCACGGATCGTGATGGGGCGAGGAGGTAAAGAAGCAGCCTGAGGCTCAGTGTCTTCGAAGATTGACGTGCTGTGGTGTCATCCTCCTGGATTTGCTGGAGCCGGATAGTTTCCTGGCGGTGAGGCATACCTGTGCCACACAGTGGCACCAGCTGCCTTTGTTGTTCCTTGCTCCTTTTGTCCTTTTGAGGCCAGTGAGCTGTAACTCACTGAGCAGTGAAAGAACGCTACAGCGATACACGTGTCTCTAGAAGAACTGCAAGAGCCATGTAGGCGCAGAGCTCTTAGGGAGGTTTCTGTTGGTGTTTCAGTTTTCTGGTTCCTGTTTCATGTGCGCGATTTGTCATGAGCGTGTAGGGAGCGGGCAGAAAAGGGGGTGGGTGAAGGATGGGAGACGTGTCAGTCACTAGATGGCACAACAGGCACGTCTGAGAGCAGCCTGTAAACGCCCTTGGCCGTGCGTTTACAGGCGTTTGCTGTAAAGGTTTTTCTCCTGCCTGTGTGCTGTGAGCCCTGTTGACCCGGGTAGTCCATCCTCTCTTGCCGTTCCCAGGTAGTAAGAATCAGGTGTGTAAGGAAAAGCGAACTTGTACAGAACAGCAACCCTTTCGTCAATCCTGTCTCTCCACAGCGTCAGTAACTGCTCTTTTTCAAAACTAAAGTGCTAAGGATAATTAAAGTGGTAAATAGAACAATTGAAGTGTGGTAGCCTCCTGTTGAGATACAAACCATGCAGTGAGGAATGCCTGCAGTGAGTTGTGAGGAGGATGATGGCATGCGGGAGTGTGCACAAGAAATCAAACGCTTCACTGTATCTTCACTTAATTGTGCTCCTTTGCATGTTCTACATTTGACCACAGATATGAGAACACATCTCACCAAATTAATCTTTTTCAGGTACTGATAAAACACTGTGTAGTGTCAATCACTCTTGAAAAGAGAAATTTCATTCAACATTTTTAAAGAAAAATGCCACTTGTTTGCCTGTTTCTGAATATAAGTGGACTTTATCCCTTCCTGAGAAACTCGTTCCCCATGAAATGACTGCACCTGCTCAATATGATTTGGGTCTTTATGAGGGTATTAGACTTACTGGGAATATTTCAGAGACAATTAGAGAACTGATACTACAAAATTATGCCAGATGCAGTGATATGTGGAATGGTATCAATTTGCTCCCAAAGGGAAATTTGAGCTTCTGTGTCTCTTAACAGTTGATGTTGAGCATGATCTAGTTTTGTGCTGGTGTAAACAAGAAGACTTTGGCTGCTGTTATTTGGTCAGGCGCATCATGCTTCCCCATACAGAGAGTGTCTGCAAAGTGAAAACATCCAGGTCAGTCTACAGCAATTCAGTTTACAGTGCTTCAAAAATTAATTTGTCTTCATCCAGCTAGTTACAGTAGGAAGAGGTATTTGGGGACAAATTAAACCTTACTGCAATTCTACAGGTTCTCTTGGAGGCTGCATTTGTATCAGTAATGGCTCACAAGGAATGAATGCAAACAAGCAGTAGCACAGAAGGACTCCCTCCAGCAGCAAAATCAGACCTGTACTGCCCCATCCTGGCGCTGGGATATAAAAGCTCAGCCGACAAACCCCGTATTTGTTAGGTAACTCCTCTGATGCAGTCAAGGTCCTTTGCAAACAGTAAGAAAGTAAGTGGTAAAATGTGCTTGTGTGATAACCCTTAACTGTGAAATTTAAGACCTGGTCTGTTGCTAAATTGGTAATTGCTACTGATGTCCAAGAGGAGAAATTTCAGTGGGCTGAATTTCGGAATACGGCTGAGAAGGGGGGCCCAGTTGGCACTGTAACCATGGCACAGCTCAATAAGAAATATGTTCCAGTTGGGGTCATCTGTGTTCTTCAACTTCTTGTAATACCTTCAGTACTATTTGGAATGTTTAATAATGGAATTGGACCTCAGCACAGGCGAGATAAATACAAATGATGCCTGTCTACTTCTCAGGGTATTCAAGTGGAATGTTTTTCACAAACACAGTGGAAAAAAAGGTTTTAAATACCTGAAATTTAACAGCATTGAGTTCAATATAGACCTTCGAAACAGAGTGTAAGCATAGTGAAAAATCAGACTGTTCTTGGGAAAATCAGAATGTTCTTTGTAAATATTCCCTAAACAAAATAGTGTCATGGTTTGACGCTGGCACAATGCCAGCGCCCCATGAAAATGCAACCTACCAATCAAATGCTGTGAAATGCGATCGAGAACAGAGCAAAGCAGGCCAAACTTAATAACAAAGGAAAGACTTTATTACACTACTACTAATAATATAGAGGGGGAAAAAAAAGAAAAAAACCCACACAAACTTCAAAATGAAAACCTTCCAAAACATTCCTCCTCCCACCACCCAACTCCAACAAACCACAGCGAGACCCATTTAGATCCTTAATCCAGTTTTCACCCTTCAATATAATCATTACTGAATCCATCAGGGAAGAGAGGAGTCCCCCTTGCACCACAGACCCCCAGGAGACACAGCTGCCACCTCTTGTGTTTCCATGTCACACATGGCACTAAATTCAATTTCATAATTTAATGATAGTTTTTTTTAAATTAATTTCAAATTTCCTAATATTGAAATGGGTAGCACAAAACTCAACTGATGATGTTAATGATCTTTGATTTTAATTTATCAGAGAAGATGTTTTTGTTTGTTTGTTTAGGTGGATCTAGCCTAAAATTTCCTGTATTTTTCATTTTGTTCAGAGAACTAAAATTGTTGCTGTTCATTTTACCAAAGCTCATATATTCAATATATTCAAGTTACTTATATTAAACATTTTGATACATAACAAATCTGTTTAATTAGTCTGTGTAGATAGGATAGAAGCTACATTTCCATGCCAAATCTATGGTATTTACTGTGTTTGCAATCTCATCAATCCAAATGGTTTGTAAGAGCAGCAGCTGACTATTTATTGAGACCCTTTTATCTGATTTGTTGATTAACTGCTTTGGTACCTGCAAACCAGTCATCATCTCAAGTTTGTTTGGTCCCTTAACACTGCTGAATAATCTGTCATATTGGTCCTGAGTGCCATGGAGTGGCAGCACTTACATAAAGTATGTAAATTATAAAGAGGAGAAATGGGAGGATTCAGAATTCCTTTGCATTTACATTTAATTTAATGATTTAACTGTAAGAACCACGATGCCTGGATTCCATTCAGGGCTCATTTCAAATGTCAAGTACACCACATTTGGGTGCTGTCTCTTCTAGCCTCTCGTCTTCTCTTTTGTCTACAGACTTGTGCAGTAACCAATGCCCTTCTTGAAGACGGCATGTCTAAAAGCAATAAGTAGAATACCCCCACCAGTTGGTATTTGACAGGGAATGATTTATGATTTTTTTGTAGGGTTGTTGTTGCTCTCTTTTTCAGCACCATTTGCTTGTTCAAAGAGATTACTTTTTGTCTTGACTGTTTTGGCTCAGAAAACCCTTCATAAATTCTTACTATATTTTTCATTTGTCTTGACTTTTCTCCTCTTCTTCTTGTTTTTTCACAAAGCTTTTTCAGACACTCCACACAGTACCAGCTTCAAAATCAAGAGGGAATTTAAGGTGGAAACATATGATTCTCTGTGAAAATTATTTTAAATCAGCAATCATATTTCAGGCAGACTCTTCAGATCACTTCCCCTAGTTGTCTGAGTTGTAACCTAACATTTTTCCCTATACTAATCAGTCTGTGCTGCATCATATGAATTACCTGCATTATAGAGAGAAGATGGCAATGAACTAGCTATGGCATGTTGGATCCTCGTTTACCTACATTCCATTTAGTAGGAGTATTTGTGCAATCTATGAGTCCAGATTCCCCCTCTTTCCAATGCATATGAACAGGAAGAAAGTGAGGAAATGTTAGCTGTGAGAAAGGTGTTACTTCAGCCCAACCCCTCTGTGACATACTGCTGTCTTGTCAGGATCACTGGCTGTCAGTTTAACCCACAGTGTCTGAAATAAGTTCAAGAGCTGATTTCACCTTTTGTCTGGGATCATTCCATTGTATTGGTATCTGACATGCCCCATCTCTATCAGAAACAGGTATCCTGCTCTAGCATACCAATACAATTTATGATCTAGTAACACTCCTTCAGCCAGTGTTCCTTCCATCTTGTGGAAGCAGACAAGGTCAATTGGCTGGTATCTGACAAATGTCCTCTCCTTGGTTTCCTTCTTAGTACTTTTAAGCTGTATTGGTGTCATCAAGGAAACAAAGCACAAATGTCTACACAGAGGTCTAAAAGTAGTCTTAAGGCAGGTACATTAGCTCATTTTTCTCAAGGAGTTTCCCATCTGGTTTTATTGAAGGTCTCTGTGTCCAGCCTTTCCTCATTACCCTGCAGGGGTGTTCATGCTGTTCTTGGCAGAAGGGGAAGTGAGGCTTCTGCACTCCCATGCTGATAGTCCACATACCCATTCCCTAGAATCAAAAGGATTTCCCTAGCTTCATTTTTTGTGTCATGTCTCTGTACAATTAGACCTCACACAGTCTCATCCCTCTTGCATTCTCCCTTTGACTTCTTTCAGTCATATTTTTTACTTACAACGATGTCCTGACCTGACCAATGCTTTAAAGTTGCAGCTGACCATTTAATGTTAACTGAGTTACCAGGGAAGCAGCGATTCTACTTCAGCTGTGGTGATGATGCTGTTTTCAAACTTTCTTCAACTAATGAGCCATTATAAGTAGTAATAACGGTGTTTGTTGGGGCCACATGTCCCTTGGAAACACTCAGCCCATGCTAATTACAATGGCTCAGCAAAGAGGTCAAGGCTCAAAAATGTGTGGGAGGGGGCATTGAACAGTAATGGTGAGAGGTGTTGAAAATAGTTGCAGGGAATGTTAATTATACAGCTGCTTCACCTGAACTTTCTCCACCATTAAAAGCAAAACTAATTTTGAAGACACTTGCAAAATCTCTGCTTTATGAATCAAGCTCCCTTATGTCTCAATAACTGGTAATAATACCCAGATATATGAAACTGCAGTGGAATCAACAAAGAACTCATCTGTGCAAGGTGGGTTTAGTCTTAATTAAAGCTAGAAATAAGATTTTGTGTGACTGTGCTGCCACATTAGAGCCATTGCACAGCTTTGCTCTGTGGATTTAATTCAGATTCTGCGGATTTTGCTACTGACTTCCATGACCTTTGGACCAAGCCTGCTTCTGGTTTGTTCTCATTCCTGAAGAGCCCCAGTCAGTCTGACAGACAGATAGTGCACTTCCTCAGGGACCAGAGTAACTAACTGTAAGTCCTGGTTTTGCAGTTGTCACAGTGTGAGTGACAGAGCAAAGCTAGTTACTTGTGGATGTTTGCATATTAAATTATCTTAAGTTCTAATAAAAAGTGACAGTGAGGGGAAGGTATACAATAAAAATTATGAGAGAGAGATGTGCAATTAACTAATTCTTACATTATGACTAAACAGTGTATATATATCTGAGTTGTTAACATTGCTAAGATATTGCACTATATTTACTATTCAAAGAAGCATAGCATTATAGGATAAAAGCTGGCTATTTTCTACTTAGTTTCTCAGCCAAACTTCAGAGCCAAAAAGCTTTTAAGGTGTAGATAAATCTGACAAATACTTAACTTTTAACTTGTGCTTGTGTGTGTGCTTCATAGTCACAAAAGTGTGAAATCCCTTGTAGCAGTCAATGCTCTGAGAATGATGTCTGTAGGAGAAAGAGTGTACTTGCAAGTTAGTATGTCTGCAACACTGCAGAAAACAGGTTAATGTGGATCAGCCTGTGAGCATCTAACTTCAGTGAAACTTGTGAGATGGTTAATTATTTTTCTTCAGGATAGCTAAACTGATTTCTGCAAAGCTGACTTCTGTAACTGAGGAGGAGTTCCAAGTCAGCTAATGTGTCTCAATAATAATGAGAATGAATATTGATGGAAAGTATACTTATTTGTTCATAAAAGTAACATTGTAGCAAAATATTGGTGTGCTATAACCTCTCCAAACGTACAAGAAGTGATATGAGTAACCCAGTGTGCTCAGTAAACGCATATCAATTGCAAAAATCAGTAAATCTATTGTTTAGACCTACAAATAGGAAATCAGCTTCTCATCAAGTTCCCTGTGAAGTGGGTGACACGACTGATGTGAATTTAGCACAGATGCATAATTATGTGTGTCATACAGGTGGAATATTTTAAGGGAGTCTCTCATCCTTCCACTTCAGTAATGAAATAATTTTAAGTACAAGCATGTGCTGACCACCACCATGCAAAGAGATTGTACACAGAAAAATACCCTTTAATGTTATTTTATTTCGCTTGAGTTGGTTGTATGTTTTTCACAGTATTGCAGTGTGTTTGCACAACCAATAAGGACACAAGAGTTGACTATTCTTGTTTATTGAATAATTCATATCAAATAAACACTTTTGGAAGTCTGACCACAGAAAGTAAAAGCATTCCTTTGAGAGGAGAGAAATCAGAAATCCTCACTGGAAGGGAAGGATCTCTTCTTGCTTTATTATTACATATCTGAGGGGAAGGCATGATTTCAAGTGGCATGACTGAACTGTGGACACACCAGGGTGGGAGTTCTTGTGTGGGCTGTACACAGTCAGAGGGGACACAAAGTGTGCTTGAGATGTTCAGGGATGCATTAACCATTTGCACTCTTTAGCCTTTTAGGTGAGCAGGGTTTTCCTGTGCCAGTTCCAAGACAAATTATGAAGTCATTCACTTATTTTGTTCCAGTTGAAACTGTTCCTGTCTCTTTATAGTGCTTACTGTCTGGGCAGATTGTAGTGTACAAGGACTCAAGTGTCCAGAATGTTATCATTTAGAACTGAAAACCTGCTCTATTTAATTTTGAAACAATTGGCATATGTTCTTTTTTCTTCCTCACTATTTACTGATTTCACTGATGTGAGAGGAAACCATATAATTATTCTACTTCAGTAGCGTCAGAACAGAAATTTAAGAGCCTGTTTTAGTAATTTAGGAACACATAGTTGGATTATTTTTGGGTCTGGACTCCTAAGAAAATAAGCACTCTTCCTAAAGTGGGGGAATTTAAGATTCTCTGTACTTGCCTGTTCCATTCAGATGGGTCCTTTAGTTCCTTTGCTTTAAGTGTATGACAAAGCCATTAACTTGGATGGGAACATTAACACACTGAAAGGTAGGTGCAGAGGTCAGCAGCAGGAAGCCAAAAAGGAGTGAACTGAATGTTTTGGTGATCTGGCAGTTTACTTCACCAAATGCAAGTGCTAGACAAAATTATTTTCTCATTCCTCTGTTTCACTTTCCCATGCTGATCTCTTCCCTGGGTGCTGACGCTTTTCTTCTACCCTGTCTCTGCTAACATCTTCTACTAAATCAAGCAACAAGCTGCCTTTATGACAAGTGAATGACTCCTGAAAGTTGCAGGGACCTGTGTCATCTGAGCGGTCAAAATTCCAGTGCCTTTTTCCAGGATGCTGGCGTTTCTCACCGTATACATCTACCTCATAATTCCAGCCTCTTTTGCTAGGATGCTGGTGCTTGAACATCAGATATCTTCTGCCTAGATGTTCTCTTTTGGATAACTCATTCATGTAGGTTAGCTGTGCCCTAGGGCTGTATGCAAACTGATCCAACAGTGACTTTATGCCGGGAGGCTGTTGCCTTTTCAGCTCCAGATAGACATCAAGGTCATCTTCCATCTCCCTTTTTCCTGGATGCTGCCTCTTCTGAATGTCTCCATAAAATGTCTCTTCCTCAACATCTCTTTTTCCAGGATGCTGTCTCTTCTTCAGGTTATTTAGGTACTTTTCCCCAGGGTGTTGTCTTTTGGAAAGCCGTTGTAGCAGAGGGGCATTCAATTCTGTACAAGGAAAAGAATAAGGTTAATAAAACCCCATAAACCTCCCTAAAGAAGTTGTATTAGGAATTTGTGGAGCAGGATCTTAATCTGTTGCTTTTTGAAAGCCAGCTCAGTATTTTTGAAAGCCAACTCAAGTCATAACACTATTAGTATCTCTTACTCATTCTTAGGCTCTTTTTAATATTTCAGCACTGGGATCAACACAACCAATTCTCAGCATTGATGTGAAGAGGGAGGATGACTATTCCTGTGGGCACTTGGGGCCAGCTCGTCTTCCACTCTGGAAGGGCCCAGTGCTCCTGTTTGCTGGCAGGCACCTCTGTGCTGTTTCTTGCAATCTCTGAGTCTGATCTTCTGCTGCTGTGACTACTGGTAGCAGAGCATCTACAGGGTGGGAGGTGCAGACACTGGAGCAGTCTCTAGCATTTACAGCTGTGGAAAAAGCCCACCTCTTTTCCGGGGGTAGGAACCAGTGGATTCAGGCAGTAGGTGGATGGCAGCACCCCCATCTCAAATTTACATTAGTACAGGGTCCACAGCTGCAGAATGTCCTTCATGGGTCCTCTTAGAGCTTTCCTAGGGAAGTACCTGCTGAACGAGCAGGTTTTCTGTGACAGGCTTCTACCTTTTTATTATGCAGCAGCTGCTTAATGATAGTGCAGCCTTTCCTGAGCAAAGAGATCTTAGAGAAGAAAGCATCTGTGAAGAACTGTCTGTCAGTGTATTGTGGCAGCCCTCTTATCCTTCCCTTCCCCTTAGTTCCAGTGCTAAGTATGGACATTAAGACCTGGAAATCATACCTTGGGTCTAATGATCTCAGTCAAGTGCTATGCCATCACCAAATGGGTGTCCCCAGTGAGATAGATACCTTTATTAATCTCTTCTTCCTTTTCAGCTTTCTTGAGGACAGACTGAAGAATGAGGCTTTCAGATCTTTGAAGGGTGTCATCCAGGGGAACTTTTCCCATGTTCTCACTCTCCTCTGGAAGGAGATGTCCCCCGTTGAAGCAAACACCACACGAGGTCAAGCAGAGGAGTAGCAGTGGCAGCTGGATGGATGACATTGTGGGACAGGGGTTCCTGCAACTTCCATTGGACAGAGAACAACAGGAGAGGAAGATGGAACAAGTAAACCTAGCAATAACAGCAATATTTCCAGACACTGAAAAACAAATATGGCATCACTGCAGGGATTGAAATCTCTTACGGTCTTTCCTCATCTCTGTTAGTAACCTCTCAGTTTGTTTTTATTCTTCAAAGCATCTCAATTCTTCATAATTAAAACCAGGTAGTTGCTAATTTTTCTGGCAGAATAAATATGGTATGAACTTCCTGAGGCACAGGTGATTCTGAAAAACTGATTTTGCTCTGCTTTCTGCCAAGAGGCAAATATAATTTCCCCCTTGAACTCTGTATGCACAAGATATAGACATTTATACCTGCTATCTCCATCAGTCAATTCACTTTGCTAAGAGTTAATTTAAAAATTATACTGAGATTAGCAGCACTTCCATTTTACCTTTAGTTAAAGCCAAATCTAAATAATCCACTAGTTTTTTGCTATCTTTTTCTATGCATTTAAAGTAGCCAGATGCCTGGGTATTTGTCAGCCTAAGAAGACAGCTATGCTCTGTTTGGCAGGGAGATTTCTTGCATGGAAAGAAATGAGGGAAGTACCTTATATTTTTTTCAGAGACATAATCATAATTGTATCCTCTGTTACCTCTTGCCCAGATGCCAAGTGTTTTCCTATTTCTTCTAGCTAGTACCGAATTCCTAACATGCTTACGGATTTATTTAAAGTAAGCAGAGTTTCTACAGTAGAATGGAATACATCTTTAATACTACTATAGCAGTCATTTAGCTTAATTATATCTTCAGAACATAAAAGAAATGCACAATTTTATGAAGATCCACAAATTTCCCAAATAGAAAATGAGTTCATTATCTTATTTTACTGGCAGGTTTTATCAGTTCTGATGAAATCCTTGAGTAACAGCCCTGAGAACATCACCTAGGCAATTTGACTCAGAGCAATCTTTAGACAGAAAGGTAGAATCTGCTAAAAAGGAAATTATTTGATAAATTACCTGATTTGTAGTTTCAGATTTTTGCTTGATGCATCTGCCAAGTCCTTTAGAGCTATTTGTGCACCTGAGCTTCAGTTGCCCTTTTGCTGCAGGCACATGGAGTATCCAACAGAAGCGTTGCTGTGTGCTCTCTGCACAGCTCACGTCTCTGTACTTATAGTGTACTGCCTCTGAACCCTTTATGCAAACAGCTCAGAGGTAATTTAGGGGATATGATGTGTTCTTTTTTTTTTTTTTTTTTTTTTTTTTTTTTTTTTTTTTTACTGCTCTCAGAGAAGTGTGTTCTGAATGCATTTTAAGATTCACACAGTTATCTGCTGGCCTCTATATATCCATACTTGGCTCCCAGAAACTGTTATTTTCCCATTCTCTGAAGAGATTATGTTGAACTTTATGTGACTCAGCATAAAGAAAAGGAGGTTTTCTTTGCTTAACAAAACTAAGATTGTTTGTCCTCTATTAAGCAAGTGTTTTGGAGTAAAAGCAGGAGATAGGTAATTAATTAGGGTAGGGAAGAAAGACAATGGCAAAAATGTAATGGATTATATTTAAATAAGTGTATACCATGCAGTCTTATTCTGAATGACACTATACACGTTCTGGCTCACAGTTCCATATTTTTTTTGCATAGGCTTCCACAAAAAGTATTTTAGAATATGACATGCATAGCATTAAATATTAACACATGTTTATGTTGCTGCTATGTGCTTTAAAAAGCGTAACTGGAAATAAGACTCCCTGTCTTTAACCTGTCTGTCTACTTAAGATACCACTCCACACAATACTGCTCATACAGGGAGGACAACTGCTTGCCATTTCCTAGGTGCAGTAACTCCATAAGGTCTCTCAGGTATGACACCTGAGTTTAAACAGTTACTGTATTGCCCTATAAATGAAAGTGACCATTGATGAAATGGGAAACTGCCTGGTTTCATTCTCCTTAAAATCTGCTTCTTGACACTTTTGAGCTTAGTTTTAGAGAACATGGGTGAAGTACTGTGTTATAATTACATCTCCATGCAAAGCTCTCAGCAGGTGCAAAATTATTTTCACAGGGCAATGCCTAGGACATCCAGTCTGGCCAGCTTTTCCTCTTTACTCAGACTTATTTTATTTTGGACTCATTTAGTAGAGTTGTAATGCTTTGTTTAAAGGAAGAAACTTAAAAATCAGCACCTCAAAGAGTCAGGGTTTTTAATGAAAAATGTCCATTTTCTATTTCTCAGCTGGAAAACTTTATGATTTTAATATGATATCCTTCCTTTTAGAGTTCTGGTTTGCTTTTTTCCAGCTACTTTTTTTTTTCAGTTTCATTTTCCCTACAGGTGATTTTTCTTAAAAGATTTCTGGAGGTTTGCTTATAAGTGTAAATGTTCTTTCCTCCCCCTCACTGCGCAATTACTCATGGCACTGAGATGAATTCATGGATAGGAAGGAGAGTTTGTTTTCTCAAACTCCAGAGAGAGTGTCCCAGGCTATACTTTTTTTGTCTTGTCACAAATGCATTGACTCCCCAGACTTGCCCAGAGCTTATGTCAACACGGTTTGGGAGGGTTTGTCTCCCAATCCACATCTATGTCTCTGGTCAGTTCTAGAATTGCACAGAAATGTTGAAATAACACATTGCATACCTAAGTACAGCATTTCACCATCACTGTGATCCTCAATCCTTTGTCCAACTGCTGTATTTTATCACAGGTGCATCAAGTCCCTTGATCTTTTGTATCAGCTCTGTTGAGGAAGTTACTGAATTTTTTTTAAACATTCTCAAGGGCATGCCAGCTTCTCAAGGGGCTTCTACATGAAGAAACTGGGAGGCAGACAACTCCTCCAAACCAGAGTCAGACCCATACATGTGATCTGTGAGGAGTGAGGTCTGTGTTGCTTCCCTCACCAGCTTGCATGTTGTGTGTGTTGCTGTCTGCAGTCACTCACCACGTGTCACCAGGATCCTGGTGCCTCCACTTGTGCTGAGCACTTGTCCAGCTCAGTGTTGGTGTTCATAGCAATGGAGCTTTTGCATTGGTGCTGTCATTGGGCACAGAGTTTGTCCCTAAAAAGATCTCAAAGGGGAATAATGAGAAAATCTGCTGCTAACCCTAGTCTCATCTCTGTTTCAAAAAATATAGACATTCGTGTTTTGTGCAGTTAGTCAGCCATGACATCATGAAGTCAGGAAGAAAGTTCTCCTTGACAGTTTTGAATTTCTACATCTTACTTTGCCTTGAAGTACATTGCTCATTTTTAGTATGGTCATCCCTCCAGGAATCCTGAAATATAGAAGTTGTTATGGGAACTGCTTTTCTTTACCTATAGGAATAAAGAATACTCTTGTTTGGAATTAATGGCTCATTGCATTTCTTACCAATTTCACTAGGAGATGCTGAATTTTAAGTGGTTTGCCCTTTGTCACAGATCCGTAGTTTTAGAGTTAGGAATGAGACCAGAATCTGTTCACTTAGCCTTCCTTTATTGAAAACAGATTTGCTTTCTGGTAGAACCCCACAAGACACACATCTTTCTCATTTAAAAGGTTACCTACATGGCATTACTTCTGTGTGCAAGAATGAGAGAAATACCTCCACTGACTACTTAAAGCATTCCAATAATTTTTATTAAAAAATAAAAATAAAACTGTCACTAGGACTATAGTTTTGATCTCCTCATCTCTTTAAATAACTTTATCCTCTTGGATATTTCCTGAAATGTATTTCTTGCAATGACTGCAAATCTAACCTGTTCTATCTGAACTTCCTCTTGGTAACAGTGCTGTGAATTAGGAATGGCTTCTTTGCCAACAGAAATGAGAGCCAAATCAGCTCTTTTGTTTTCTCTGGAAAATGAAAAGCACAGTTTGTTTATATTACTCCTCCCAGTTTGTTCCTTGATTGAACTACTCAGGGAGAAAATAAGGGAGATGGATTTCAGTAATAGGTGGACAACTCTCTCTTTCTATGTGATCTTGTTAACATGATCCTTCCTGCATAAGAACAGGTAAATAGTTTGCCCTGGAGGAGGATGTATTGTATTTTTGTGAGAAGTATAATTCCAACTTTTCTCCATTTTGATTTTAATGACAGCAGAGTGCCAAAGAGTGTACAGCCACAATGATCTTTAGATGGTTTATTATTAGACCCATAATATAGTTTTACAAGAGAGGCAAGTCTTCAGGAGTACAAACCTTTCTTAGGCCTGAAGAAATGCATTCATATGTGAAAGTTTGTCTCTCCTCTTAGAACTAAGAAAGGACTTGTGATCTCCCAGAACTGTCAGCTTTTCATGGCAATAGATGTCACTACAAAAGAAGATATTATACCTAATCTACAAACCTTGTATTAAATAATAATCATTACCGGAGGCAGGGTTCCAAGCAACTTCTATCTGCTAGTCCCCAAAATTCATTTGCTAAGTAAATGGACCTAGACAGTACTGAGTGGATGTAGTGACAAGTGAAGGAAGTTTTTGAAATGCAGCCTACTGTGGTCACCACCAGTATTAGCAAAAGTGATCCCTCTGTGTAGACATTCCCAGCCAGGGGGGCTCCACTGTGGGCAGCAGATCAGCTTATCATAGCCTAGCTGGTTTTGCTGTGAGTCATCACAAAACCAAAACTTGAGGAATAATAAGGACATCTTTCCTATTCATTTTCATTAGCTGTGAATAAAAAGAAGGTAACTCATCTATCATGCTCTGTTTCTTCCAGCACTGAGCCCCCACCACAGTACTCTTGTGTGTACTGCAAGACTGTAGTGGTAAACGCTTGGTTGTGATGTGAGCTCTGAGACCTTCTGGGGGGAGCTTTAGTTAGAGCCAGGTGAAGGAATTGGCCTGGAGAATCTGATGAAATTATTAGGAGCTTTGTTGGGTGATGTTGTATGGCACTTGAAGCATGACCTGAACATGGTAAGGATGTGTAAAGGATTCCTTTTAAAGGCTGCTAACCTTCAATTGACACCTCCTTCTCAAAAATTCCAGAAATGGCAAAACCTTCTGCTCTGACTGTAAAGCTCAGACTTTCATAGTTTTGCAAACAAAAGTGTTGAAGCCTAATTTTTTGAATTCATTGAAACTAATAGAAAACCCTTTGAGGAAACTTAATATATGGAGAGATTAGGCCTTCTATTTTAAATAATGAGTAGGATGAGTATTGAAGGAGATTGAGAACATTCATTTCTTTGTGAGGAAGCCCTTAATAGAATTACTGAGTGAATTCGACATGGAACACATACGCAGCTCCCCTCATCAATTTCAATCAAAAAAGGGAACTATTCTTGCCAAAAGGTCTATAAATAACATGTTGCTTGTCTTGGCTAAATAGTTTTATTGTTCCATGAGGAAGCAAACCCAAAGCATTATGACATTAATGCCACATATTGGTTTACTGACAGATTTTTCAATATTAAACAGCATATTATGCAGCCAAAACTTGACAGGCTTAATTGTATGCTTGAGAGTCAGACTAACTCACAGTTTATTCTTTCTGGAATGGTGGCAGTTTGGAATTAAAGATCTCGATAGATTCACTGTAGTGTTTCTTTATTTTGTAATTATCTCCACAATGTTTATGCAGGATCATTTCTATAGTTTTCTAGTCAAGTGAACCCTGTGATTTGGGAAGAAAATTGCCATCATCAGAAAGAATATGTCTGTGCCCTTATTCTTGTTTCAGGCACAGTCCAGGATCTTTCAAAACAAACAATGTCACTAAATGAAACAAGCATGGCTCTATACCTCCAAGCACAAAAAAAAAACCCAAAAAAACCCAAAAAAAAACCCCAAAAAAACCAACAAACTTCCAGCTGCCCAGCCTGATGTTTTTTCACGGCTGCTGATGACAAGACTCAAGATCTTGTTCACTTTCAATGGTCATTAGACAAAGCAAATTTACGGCTCAGTTCACCTTGCCAAAATACTATGTTTGAACTGGGGCAAGTTTCATCATATAGCAGGAATAGATTTGGGGAAATTTGATTTGGATTGATAGAAACTCACTGCTAAGACATACTAATTATGACAGAGAAGCCATAATTGGGTGAGAAGAGGCAGAAATTTGTGAGGTAGTGTTGCTACAAGATTTAGTGTTTGGCACCGAGTGTTTAAAATTGCTGGTTTGGCTTTTGAAGTCCACAATCCTCAGCTTGCAGCCAGTGCTTCTGTCCAGTTCACTAGGAGCAATCAGCACAGAGCATATTTGGATAGTCTGCCTGCCAGTCCTGGCTGGTTCAGTTATGAGATGCGAGGCTCCAAAGTTCCTGAAGGCTTGACACACATGATGCATGCCCAGTGACTGGGAATCAAAGAGCACAAATAAGAAGAGCATGTAAAAGCAGAATGAATAGTTCCAGAATTTTGTCCCATGTGTCTCACTCTAGAACATCATCCTCTCAAAATTTAGATATTTCTATACCAGCTTTTAAAATTAAAGAAGTGTATATCTTATTGTTGCTTTTGGCTGTTGTAAAAGACAGCTGTTCATTTGTATAAATTATTCTGTAAAGTGACCTCAAGCCTGGCTTTAAGGATGCAGCACAAATGTGATTTACCATTAACTTTTCTATGTTGATCTGCTAAGAAAGGGAAATGGGCCTGTGGCAGGACCACCTCAGCAAGGCAGATGTGTTTGTGCCTACCTATACTCAACACCTAAGAAAGCTCTTCTACTGGAGGAACATCCTGGAATCAGATATAGAGAGGAATTTTGAATAGGAATCTGGTTTAACTAACAAAGTTAACTTCTGGTACCAGTCATGTCAGCTGATCTGGTTGAAATAGGTAACAGTTCAGGTATTGCTTCTCTTCCTCAGGTGTTCCTGTCTGCCTGTGATGATGAATGTGTGTTATGCTGCATTTTACTAACGAAGTGTTCCTCTCTTTTTTTCTAGTACCTTTGTCTTTCTTAATATTAAGAAAGTTATTAAGTTATTTGGTCTACTCATTTTGTGAGGGCTTAAATTTGCTGACTGTGTTCCTGTAGTAAGATTAGACATTTTATCTTTTCAGCTACTGATTTTAAGAGTCCTGTAGCACAGCAACAGTGAAGATCACAATCCTGTTGTGGTAAGTACTATGGTGAAGTAAAATCTGAAACTTGTCTTCCCAAGAGAGTTAGAATGAAATCTAGATGCATATGCATACACCTCTGTCTGCACCTACACCTATCATACATCTACACTTGCACCTGGAAATGTATGAAATGATGAAACAAGAGGTGGAGTAATCATGTCAGTTGCGTTGGCCATAAATATGGTATTTCAAAAGTTTGGGTAGCTGTAAATCAGCACCAAGCTAATCAGGACCAGGTTACAGCTGATTTGTGAGCTTTGCTGCAGTGCTGTAAAAGGATGTGAAAGAAAGAAGACTGTAATTTTATCCTGGCATGGATTTCTCCCTTGTGTAAGAAAAGGCTTATAAGAAAGATGTCACTTACGTTATCAGAAGGATGAAGACGTGCAGGTTTTTCTGTCTGATTCTAGCACAGGCCATTTACAGGAAGGTCTTAGCAAATATTAATGATACAGTTTACTGTTTGTGGTATTGTCCATTAGTCCCACTGTGTTTGCAGGGCACATGGCTACAGGAATTTTTATTCCTGTCACTTGGAATCATTACTAATGATACCAGTGAAACTGGAAGCTTTTATGTAGAATCCAAGCCTTCACTCTAGCAAATATATGGATTTATGGCACCAGAGGTGTGGCTGGAAGCCAACTGGGAAGTGCTACTGCCTGTACTTGACTAACCACAGAAGCCACCAGAGATCTGATATGCTTCCATGCGTGCCTTGTGCAGAGCACAGTAGGTTGGGAGTCCTTTCTTTGGTGGATTGTGTGAATTACCTGGTTAATATGAAGGAAGTTCATGGAGTACTCAGTATAGAACTGCTCCCTTGCCCATCGTGGAGCTTGATGTGCAGCTGAGAGGCTTGGAGGGGGAGGAAACTCTCCACAACCAGTTGCTTAAGACAATTTTCATATTGTACTATGAGCTACATAGCAACAATGACCTTTATCTAATTTGCACTTTTATAACTTTCATAGTCATTGTAATAACAATAAACTCTTCCATGGGTGCTTAATGGGTTTGTTTACAAGCAAAGAGCATGAAGTGAGGATCAATAGGTATTCAGATGCCATTTTGGGGGCAGAGATTGTAATTATCAAACAAAAATTAGACATTGTTCTTTATGGGGCAATAAAGGCACACACGGGGTCAGTGAGGTATCTGCTGAGACTAGGAGTATTGATTTTTTAAAATGGCTTCTGTGTTCTTCTCATGGATTTCTCTTCACATCAGTCCAGCTGGCAGGCTCTGTGCATCCCAAGGGAAGCTGAGTGAATGAACATGGAGCACTGGAGTAAAAGTTCCTTGAGTCATTTAAAACATGCTTCTGCTGAGAAGACTGTGAGGCACATAGTCTATATGCCTCTCAGGTTTTGTGTCAGTCTCTTCCCCTGAATGTCTTCACCTAAGCATGAACATGAACAAAGATACATATAAAAGTAGCTGGAGAATGGTTTGCAGATGCAAACTACAGCATATATGTTGTATTTTTATAAGCACCATGCTGGGAGAACACATGGCTATTTAGTTAGAATGGAGTCTGAGAACTGAGCTGATTTTACTTCGATCTCTTACATTGAATTCCTCTGTGATTGTCAGTGACTCATTGAGGCAAAAATCCAACTGTAGTTAAAATCAGAGTCAGACTTTTCATAAATGGTAACTGGAATTAGGTAAACCTTTAAATATCTGAGTTTTGTGCTCCCTGTCCACAAATAAGATATAGTGATACAATAGAGTTCTGATGCTTGTGACGTGCTTTAAAAGTCATAAATCATGACAAGACAAGTAAAAATTGTTATTTATAGTTTGTTAGAGTTTTTCCTAGGGAGCAAGTAGACTTCACCAAGCCCAGTGGGCATGGCATGCAAATTATAGTAAAGAAAATGGTGAACAGAAAACTTGTGTTTAATTGGACTCTGGTGAAGCTTTGGTGTGGTCAATTGTAACAAAACCACAATTGTATATCATACATATATTAAATATCAGCGATTTCACTGGATTCTTTCTACAAACTGCTGATGTCTTTAATAAACAGTTTTCTCCTCCAGATTTCTTTCTTTCCTTGTTGAAGCTGATATCAGATTTGAAATGTTGTATATTGACACCTAAACGGTGTGATGGAATTCTACAATGCACTCCTGGAATGGCTGGTGATAGTCTTCCTTGAATGTGGTACAAGAGAATCCAGAGTTTGGAATAACTTCTAAAGGATGAAAAAAGGACATTAATAAAAGCAATCCTTTTGTTAAATTTCTTCTGTGATGATCTATAGGTACCCTAGCAAATTCTTACACTTTAACAAAAGTAAATCACCTAGAAAAAGTGAAAAAACCCTCTTGGAAGTTGCTTTCAGGCCTGCATTTCTATGAGTGATTCAGAGATGATAATGGAAAATGCAAAGTTAAAACTTTCATAATATTATATTTTACAGCTTTTATTCAAAAATATGACCCACTATTTTGACATTTGAAATAGTTTATCAAGACAAAGAAGCTGACAGGCTGTTTTTAAAATACTTTCTGGATGATCCCAACAATAATCTGTGATTATTTTTGAGCTTCTACTGTTCATGTTGGGTAAATGAAGCTTAGGTTTTATTGCTTGGGCAAATTATGAAAATGCCATGGATTGCCTGATAAGTAGGTAGTGCCTTTGATCACTAGCTGTACTTACAAACATATTACCATTGTCATTTGGATAACAAATTATCCCTAAGACAACATCAGGGTAATCCAACTGACCTTTCACAACTTTGTGTTTTTATTGAAAAACAGTAACTCCATCTTCGCTAGAATCACTTTCAAATCTGCTTGAGGCTGGGTACAGAGCAAAGCAGTTGCATGGGATGGAAGAAGGCATGTACTAGTTTTCTTTACTTTAAGGTACATAGCATTGGTCAATACAGCCTGTAATGAGGAACTGGAAATCACTCCTAGATGAATGCTAAGTTAAGGATACCTCCATCTGTGAGTCTGTTACATAGTTCAGCTGGAACTGTGCTACATTAAGCGTTTCAAAACTCTAGCTGAAGCTTGCTTCTATCAGCAATGGTCTGGCTGCTCTTTAGCACAGTGCAATGAAAAGAATCTGGAAACTTCAGCCTAGCAAATCACCCTATCCTTAGTTCTGAATGCCTCTCTGATGGGCAGGAGGAGCTCTGACCTATTTAAGCACAAGATCTTCACAGAATTCTGGAAAATGAAAAGTTCTGTACATCCCTTATAATTTCTGCATATGAGCACATCACCTCAGGTTCAGGATCTGACAGGTTTTCCAATAGTAAAAACATTTTTGAAGGCTCCTGCATCAAGACTGGTGTAAGACCTTGTGTAAATTGAAGAACAGAGATAATCTTGCAGAGAGCCATTTAAAAGTGTTTACATTATACATTTCTGTTTCCTGTCTCTAGTGTGAAATGAGTGCCTAACTCAGAAAAAAAAAAAAAAAAAATGTGTGCAAGAGTACCAAGAGAAAGTGAAATTCTCTACTTAAAGTGCTAGAACCCCAGTGTTGATTACAGGTGATGTGGATTTTGCCTTCTAGAGGCAAAATTTAGCAACCCTCTACAGGGCCTATAACTTGTCAGTTGCTGATACCCTGAAGAGTGGGCTTTACCTTGGTGTTAAATAGGGCATTCCATACAGCATAGGTGTAAAATGGCATCAATCCAGAGAGAAGAGTCTTGCAGGGAGTATTTTCTGACATGCAGGCTGCCTGGCACTGGCATTAACTCTGTCCCAGCCAGATCCAGTACAGCAGTGGTTGCAGAGGAGCTCTGAACTATACGTAAAAAGGGCTCTGAGTTAGCTTGATCTTTTCCTGGTTTGGATAAAGAAGCCGATTTTGCCAGTCAAGACAGGTGCAATGTACTCACTCTGTAGCAAACTTAAATTGCAAGGATTAAAAGTCCTTTTCAGCCTCAGGTAGCTACAGATGATTTAATTACAGGGTTAGTGATCTACAGTAGTAGAGAGTTTGGGGACCTTATGAGGTAAAACAGTATCTGATTACAAGTAAATCATGGTTTATTTGGACTTCTGCTTCAGCATATGGACTCCAAGGGGATATAGTCTGGACCTCCCTACTTAAAAATTTAGCAGACTACAAGTTCTGCAGACTACCAGTCATGTTACCACTAACTTCTGTTCTTAGAATTCTCAGCTGCCTGACAAATTGACAACACAAAAAATTAAAAGCAATGTAATGACAGTTAATTTACAGTTAAGTAATGACATTTTCAAAGGGGCATCTTTCCCATTTAAACACAAATGAAGTAACCAGGTTTGCTTATGTAGTTCTTGTCTTGGTTGCTTTGGTCCTTTGAAGATCTGACAACGTATGGAACAGTGGCAGCTACTATGTACCAGGTACTGTCCTCTTTTTCTGTCTGTGAGAGCAGAAGAATAGCCCTACTATAGCATGTGAATCAACTTCAACCTTTGAAATTGTATAGTGGTAGAGTAAGTTTGTGATTGTAGCAGAATTTAAGTGCTATCTCCTAGGAACCCAAGTGAAAAGATTAAGTTAAATGAGTGATATTGTGTCATCTTACTTGATATTGCCAGAGGTTGCTAAAAGGTCTTTGCTTATTTAATGTTTATCTACTTCAGAAAATATATTGATGTCCAAGCCAGATTAAGGAAACCTAGTCTGACTGTGAGAGTGGGGGTAGCAGCTGCGAAGGGGTCTCAGTCCCAGCTCAGGTGGAGCAAGTGTAAATGCCAGAGTGGCTCCTGGATGGTCAGACAGGGAAGTTTCCTTAACACTGCTCAGAGGGTTGTACCTGCAGGTACTGCTGTACTGTTCACAGCCCAGAATCAAAGGGGAGCCATAGCCATCCTATTATCATTAATTGGTATAAAGGAATATTGTCCTTGTGTTATTGAATTTTCAGCATCCAAATGATGATGGAAATTTTCCAACCAGATGTGTTTTCTCCAGGATCCTTGCAGATGTTTCTAATTAATGTGACTGTGCCTGAACAACTTTGTCTCAATTCCGTGGTAATTCTCCTGGTACTCAGGACTGTAAGAGTTTAGCCTTGACTTGTTCAAACTTGTATTTTTCTTATTCCAGTAATATTAACACAAGCTCTGTAGTCTGTCTAGCAATGGGAACAGAGCACAAATAACAAACAGTTTGTGTTTTTAAAGAGACTTACATATCCAACTATGGAAAAACAATCAATGACCATTTAGGTGCTTCTGACTGAACAAGATGTCTTTAAATTAAGTCTCACATCTCATATGAGACTCAGAAACAAGAACACTCTGACTTCCTAATTTAGCCACCGAAGAGCAAAGAAAGAAGTTTGAGTTGTTTGGCCAGGTGACATGTATGCTTCCACCAGGGGTCTTCAGCAGGGGAGCCTTTTTCCTTTGGGCATCTGTCACAGGGAAAAAACTGCCTTTAGGGGAGCAGAAAGACTGGGGGAAAACTAAAATACTCAACTGGTGACCCTGAAATTAAGCAGCAGTTGGTGATAATTTTCTGATATTTTTCTTCATTCAAAGAACTCACTCGTTTTAGAACGAATTGGTGGTGCAAGGTTGGAGCACAGTCACGCAGCTGGAGGTACTGAGAGTAGAACTGGGGCAGCTGTGTTAGACCAGTGTAATCTGTGTCATTGTAAACCATAATCAGATCTAATTGCTCACAATCACTGAAAAGACCCTCTCATTCATCTTTCTTCCTATCCACACTGCTCCAAATTAATGATTGCATAAATTGTAGGGACTGCTCAGCCCCAGTTGATTTATCAAGGGTCAGATGTATCAAGGGTCAAAATTTGGCACAGAGCTAGATGTTCCCATGACAAAGACTGAAATGATACTCTGCTTTCATCCTGATGTAATAAGACCTGCCTCTCTGTGCAAGTAATTCTAGAGTGGCAAAAAATTGTGCTGTTGATCTTTGCTTATTTAGTCAAGGGTGGACATGATGTTATCTGCCTTTTTAGAAAGACCTGAACAAGCTATATGTATTAGTATTGGGAATTAAAAGCCTCTTAAATCTGCTACTTACCTGAGCTACAAAAGGGGACTTGCCAAGTTACTCTCATAATTATCAAAAAGTTAGATCTTGTCTGGAAATAGGAGCCAAAATGATTAAGAATTCATTTGCAAAGGAAGCAAAGATTACAAACTTGTTTTCTCACACCTGCTCTCCACTTCGGCAGTACAATAAAGCAAGGCATAGTTAATGCACTTTCCCCCAAAATTATTAATGCACTCAGGGGAATATGATCAGCTGAAGCTTTGGAGATCACACTGCTATTTGCCCAATTATACCTAATGACAACACATCATTCCAACAAAATGTGTCTATTCTTTGGTAGGTTACATTTCCTTTCAGCCTTTTACTTATTGATCCAGTACTACCTCATGCAGAACAAACTTCTTTGTTGGCAAGTCATGTTCATGAGAACAGAAAAATCCTTTATGATACATTTTTAACATCTGACCAAGTCAGTGAGAGGAAAAGCTTCTTGTATGGAGCAAGACAAATTTTTGTGATTTTTGTAAAACAAAGCAATAAGCCGAATGTCTGTATGGTTTGGGCTATACAGACAATTAATGTTCTGTGTTCACTATATTTTTGTGTACTTTCTGCTTTGATGTCATAAAAAATCTTAAACTATGTCTTCATTACATGGCACTTAAGAGTAAATGATCGCTTTCATCTTGTACTCCAAGTAGGTATATACTCAGTTCATTACAGAAAATTAGATGTTTGCTTAGCAAACTGCAGCATCATGAAGCTCAAGGCATATTTATTTTTTTTGTTATTGTTTTTTGTTTTTTTGGTTTTTTTTTTTTTTGGGGGGGGGGTCTGGATTTTTTTGTTTGGTGTTCTTTTTTTTTTTCTGTGGAAGTGGAAGGGCTTGAAGAAAGCTGGTGAAATGATGTATCCCTAACTAAAACACTTAAATCATTTTTGTGTCTGCTGTGAGCATTCATGACAACAAGTACAAGCTGATGAGTAAGGGCAGGGTTGGATTCTGATTGCTCTTACAAATTGTCTCTCTAGTTACTTTTTTAAAAGTTGTAAACTGCAACAAAAATAGATTTTTCAAATGCAGAACCATCTCATGGTAGCTCACTGCCATCATTCAGCACTTTCTAGTTGGATTATTGCTGTGGTCTTCAGACCCTTTGGAGTTTAGTCTTTAAAATTTTCAACCTCATAATGATTGCTGCCCTTCCTTCCAGCACTTCTCCTGAAGTTCTCTCTTGTATACTGGCCTCCTT